TAGTTGACTTTAAGTGCATCTTGCATACAAGAGTTTGTGATCCCATCTGAAAGACTTTTGTTTCAATAGGCGAGTTTAGCCCATTTGCGTTTATTGATTTGACATATTTAGGTTTAGGTTTACTTCTGTCATGAATATGTTAGGCTCTTTTCTTACTTCTAAAACTTTCCACGATATGTTTTCTTGTTTTGCTTTGTATGTTTCTGTTCTAAAATTTGTACCTGGGATTTATTTTAATCAGGAATGGTAAGCTAACAGACATGAGGCAACTGCCTTTGAAAGAATTTATTACTTACACTTCCCAAGAGAAGTGGGCAATACCACACCACAAAGGGCCACAGGGGTTAGCATCAAGGCTGGTCAGAAGGCGGGAGCAAGGGGGAAGCCTAAGTGTTTATTGCTGTGGTTGTGGGAACTGGTGAGGTGAGGATGTCCCCTATTGGGCAAGAAGTGAAACATAGATACTGGCATTTGTTGTTGGAAGGTTTGTAATCAGAGAAAGCTGGATCCCAGCAGAGATGTAAACAACTTTGGACATTAGTTTGGCCTTGCGATTAATGGATGCCAAGTAGACAACAGAGGATCTAAGAAACACAGAAGAGTTTCTTCTGATAATTTAGGTTTATAATTTCATCTAATAGTTTTAACATCTGACCTTTTAAACAGTATCTGTTATTTTCCTCTTTGAACAATGTATGTTAACATAGTATATTTATACTACATAAGTATATATTATATAAACATATAGTAGATGTGTATACTATTTATGTAGTATATTTCCTCTTCCTTCTCTCTCTCGTCTATCACCTTACTTTGTTTGATGTTATCTGTGCTGACTTTTGTGAAATGTACTTTTTATACTATTAATAGATTTATCATCTTTAAATACCTTTTAACCCTCTATCCCACAAAGACATCATATTTACACTACTATCTACCTTTTCCTTCCTTCCTTTTTTAAAATCAGGACTTAATATTTACATTCTGTTCTATGGCAATAATCACATTTATTGGTCCTACAGTTAAACGTTCAGTGTACATTGCCTTTTTTTTTTTTTTGGTTTTAATTTTCCAGTCATCTAGTTTGCTGTAAGTTGTGTTTTGGTTTCCCCATGTCCCTGGTACAGAAGTGACATCCATGGGACATGAAGGCAACATGTGCCTTGTGAGGCAGTAGGGTGGTAGCAGCTTCCTCTTAAGGCCAATTTCAGAAATTGCTCCTTGAAGCTTATCCTCTTAACTCACCAGCCTTCCAACAATCCTGTGAGCTAACGAAAATTCTTTCAAAAATCTCCTTTTTCTGCTTAATCAAGTGAGTCAGTTTCTACTGTTTGCAACCAAGAGTCTGCAAACCACAGTTCATGGGCCAAATTGGACCCGCTATCTGTCATTATTCAATGGATTAAAAAAATTAAAGATTATCATTCTAGACACATGAAAATTTTATGAAATTAAAATGTCAGTGTCTATTAATAAAGTTTTATTGGCACACAGCCACACTCATTTGTTTATGTAGTGTAACAATGGCAGAGCTGAATAGCTGTGACAGAGGTCATATGACCCAGAAAGCCTAAAGTTTTTCCTATCTGGCCCCTTACAGAAAAAGTTTGTTGACTCCTGGTTTGCAACTAAGAAACCTGATCTAAACATCTGGGTATAAAATTATTTTTTAGAAGTTTTTGTGGGCTTCCCTGGTGGCGCAGTGGTTAAGAATCCGCCTGCCAATGCAGGGTACATGGGTTCGAGCCCTGGTCCGGGAAGATCCCACATGCCACGGAGCAACTAAGCCCGTGCACCACAACTACTGAGCCTGCGCTCTAGAGCCCGCAAGCCACAACTACTGAGCCCACGTGCTGCAACTACTGAAGCCCGTGTGCCTAGAGCCTGTGCTCCACAAGAGAAGCCACTGCAATGAAGCCCGTGCACTGCAATGAAGAGTAGCCACCTCTCACCGCAACCAGAGAAAGCCTGCGTGCAGCAACAAAGACCCAATGCAGACAGAATTTTAAAAAAAAAGAAAAAAAATTTTTTTTGTGGGCATTGCTCTACATGTTTCAATGATGAGTGTTGTTTTGGAGAAATCTGAGGACAGCCAGATTTTTTTTTCTCCTTCAAAGTGGCATCTGTATAACTTCTCATTTAACCTCTCCTTAGAAGGTGCTGCCGCCAATCTGTATGCCATATTCACACTATTGCAACGGTGGGGTTTTACATTCTTCTCCAAGAGGTTTGCAAAGTACACTCTGAGAAACACCTCGTTGCTTCCTTTGGAAATCTTCAGCCATAGCATCATCTCTGCCTCCTCCCTCATGCAAGGCTGCTTGGGTCATCCTGACAGCTCTTGAGAGTCCTTCCTAGTGTTGGGGTTTGGGTCTCAAGTTGTTTCCTAGTTCACAGAAGATGAACTATATAAATATAAATATATATATATAAATATATATATATATTTATATGTACGCAGGCCTCTCACTGCTGTGGCCTCTCCCGTTGCAGAGCACAGGCTCTGGACGCGCAGGCTCAGTGGCCCAGCTGCTCCGCGGCCATGTGGGATCTTCCCGGACCGGGGCACGAACCCGTGTCCCCTGCATCGGCAGGCGGACTCTCAACCACTGCACCACCAGGGAAGCCCTGGACTATATATTTTTGTTCTTCAGTTTCCTCATTGCTTTTGAGCAACTTCCCAGAGAGAAACAGGGGAGAATGCCTCCTTGTAACTAGAAACTCCTTTCTCATTTATTCTCTTATTCTTTTTCTATATTCTTAAATCAAGTTGCTTAACCACTCTGATTAAGTTCTGTATCACTCTGTGTCCTTATTTATAAGTGGTATAATCACCCACTTCATGTGTGTTTACCTCATAGGGGTATGTGGTCAAAATCTGTTTTACATGCTAGGGCAGTAGTGGTGAATAAAGCAAAGTCCTTGTCCTTATGAAGCTGAACAACAGATGATGGCTTGGGCCAGAATAGTGGAACTGGAAGTAAAGAAAAGTAATCAGATTTCAGGCATTTTGAAGATAGTGCTGAGAGGATTTGTTGATGGATTGATTAGGGGATAAGAGAGAGAGTTAAGATAACTCCAATATTTTTGGCATAAGAAACCAGCAGCATAGAGTTTTTAAACACTATAAAATTTCAGAACACCATGGAAAAGGGAAGGTACAAATAGCCTGTCAGAGAAAGTAAAGGTCACATACCAAGAATCAAAATCAGAATGGCTTTGGATTTCCAAACAGAAAAACTGAAAACTAAAAGCAACAGAGTAATATCTAAAATTCTGAGTGAAAATGATTTCCAAACTAAAATTCTATGCCCAAACTATCGATCCATGACTAAGGATAGGATAGAATGTGCCTTATAAAATCTTCCTCAGGAAGCTACTAGAAAATGGATTCCACCAAAATAAAGGAGTAAAACAAGAAAGAGAAAGACATAGGAGCCAGGAAATGGGAGAGAAAATGAGACATCTCATGATGACAGATGTGTAGTTCAGAATGGAAAAGGCTGGAGAACTCCAAAAGAGATGTCTCCAAGAAGTTAAAATAGACTATTTGATTTGTCTGTGTATTCTGTGAGGAGATTCAGATTTACAGTGGAGCCTTGGGGTCAAAGCTAAGTGGTTGAGAAACAAATTATTAATTCTAAGGAAAACAAAATTTGTACAAGAAAGGAGATGAATATATTCAACAGTCATAATAAGATTAACGCCAAATACAGATTTAACTAAAAATTATGATATATAACTAAATTGGAGAGAAATGGGGAAGTCTGTATGTATGTATTTATGTATGTATGTAGAAGGATTTAAGAGAACCACGTTCTTATCTTCTAAGGTAAAAAGTCAATATAATTTTTGAAACTGAAAACTCAAGAATGAGCATTACTATAAATAGATAACAAGAATTTACTGTATAGCACAGGGAACTATATTCGTATCTTATAATATACTATAATGTAAAAGAATAGAAAAAAAAGAATAATAAAAAAGAATATATACATATATATGTATAACCGAATCACTTTGCTGTACACCTGAAATTAACACAACATTGTAAAACAGCTATACTTCAATTAAAAAAAAAAAGAATTAGCATTACTAGCGTGTCCTTTAGAAAAATGGAGGTAAATGCGAGAACAGTTGAGACTGAACAGAAAAATAGGGAATGTGGAAGAGTGGAACAGATGCTGCTAGGTTTTAATATTAGTCTTGCACAACAGACATCCCTGGCAGTCCAGTGGTCAGTGGTTAAGACTCCACGCTTCCACTGCAGGGGGCATGAATTTGATCCCTGGTAGGGTAACTAAGATCCCGCAAGATGCACAGCATGGCCAAAAAAAACCAACTAAAAAAATATATAAATAAATAAATAAAATATACTTTGAAAAAACTATTAGTCTCGCACAGCTATTTATTTAAAATTTTTTTCAGTAGCTAAGATGTTAAGCTTAGTATGTCAATATAAGGATGGAAACTAGACTTTTGGTAAGCTTGCAGTAGTATATACAGAAGTCTAATTGTAATATTATATACATGAGACGTATATAATGTTATAAACCAAAGTCAAAAAAAAGTCAATATAAAAATTTCCAAATTATGGGCTTCCCTGGTGGCGCAGTGGTTGAGAGTCCACCTGTCGATGCAGAGGACACGAGTTTGTGCCCCGGTCCGGGAAGATCCCATATGCCGCGGAGCGGCTGGCCCGTAAACCATGGCTGCTGAACCTGTGCGTCCGGAGCCTGTGCTCCGCAACGGGAGAGGCCACAACAGTGAGAGGCCCGCGTACTGCAGGAAAAAAAAAATTTCCAAATTTTTTGGGAATTGAAAGTTGGTTTCAATTTATTTCTAAAAGATATTCAATTTTGTGTGTCAGAACTATTTAAACATTTAAATGTAACTTTGTAAATGCTTACCCAGATGCACATGTGATATGCAAGACTATGAAATATTTATAAGAATGAAAGACAGGTCAAAAATAAAACTATAAATAATTTCTAATTACATCATTTAGATAAAATATAAACAATTTATTTTTAGCCTTTTGGAGAAGTAAAAAATTAACACATGACTTTATCACTTCTTAAATTAGTTCAACACTCTTTTCCTATTGCATTACTTTTGGGATGTTATTTTTCAGATAACTTTTTTTTTTTTTTTTTTTGGGTGCATATTCTTCATAATAAACCCAGGAGGGCCTGGCTTGGTAGCTCTTTTACATAGTTTGAAGCTGGTAAACCTTTGGGCCTTTTTTCAAGAGGTAACCTTGGTCATTTAGTGATCCAATAAAACTTTCAAAATCAGCTACCTGGAAGAAAATATCAAAAGAGTTATTAGCTCATTAAGTAATATACAAAAATATGATTTTTAAAATGAATCTCTCAAACAGTAATATACAATTGTTAAGTTTCTTATGCAAATAAAATTATTTGTACTTCTTACAGAAAAAACTGCCTACATATAAATCTTGGATTCTATAATGCCTAGCTAGTCAAAAATAACTCCAGTGGGGCTTCCCTGGTGGCGCAGTGGTTAAGAATCTGCCTGCTAATGCAGGGGACACGGGTTTGAGCCCTGATCTGGGAGGATCCCACATGTTGCGGAGCAACTAGGCCCGTGAGCCACAACTACTGAGCCTGCGCGTCTGGAGCCTGTGCTCCGCAACAATAGAGGCCGCGATAGTAAGAGGCCCGCGCACCGCGATGAAGAGTGGCCCTGGCTTGCCACAACTAGAGAAAGCCCTCGCACAGAAATGAAGACCCAACACAGCAAAAATAAATTAATTAATTAATAAACTCCTACCCCCAACATCTTCTTTTTTTTTTTTTTGCGGTACGCGGGCCTCTCACTGTTGTGGCCTCTCCTGTTGCGGAGCACAGGCTCCAGACGTGCAGGCTCAGCGGCCATGGCTCACGGGCCCAGCCGCTCCGCGGCATGTGGGATCTTCCCGGACCGGGGCAGGAATCCGTGTCCCCTGCATCAGCAGGCGGACCCTCAACCACTGCGCCACCAGGGAAGCCCCCCAACATCTTCTTAAAAAAAAAAAAAAGGATTACAGGCTGTACATTTAAAAATAAATAACTCCAGTTTGCAGAGAATCTTTTATATTTGTTTTAGCTTAGCTTCCAAACAAAAATCAGACTAACTTTTGCAATTGAGTGAGCAATTTTCTGTATAAACTGTTTTATGTGTTTAAAGTGCTATTACACCTATTTTCACTAAAACTTTTAAGTAGGTAGAGCAGGTGGAATCATGTCTATTTAACAAATGAGAAAACTGAGGTTCAACGATTTATAAGGATGACTTGCCCACAGGGATTGTCAGGAAAACATGGAAACTGAGTCTTGCTATGATGTTTTCCCCTATCAAGATGTTGAAAACTCTTTAGTAGGTATGAATTTTAGATAAAAACTGTTTTTCTGAAGCTCTGAGCAGCTAATTTTATATCTTAAAGAAAACAAGCCTGTATTTTTAAGTACTCCAAAGACACCTATTCTGTTCTTTTAATCCAAATCTTTTAATATTTAAATATTCTACAATATTAATAAAGGCCTCCTGAAATTATTATAAAAAGATTTACTAATTATTTGGTTTATCATACCTGAATGTTTAGCTCTTTGGCAATCTGCCGAAGTTGATGAAATTGAAATAAATTATTGTAAGTTCTTTCAGCAATGTTGTTGAGAGCGGAAATAAATCTTTTTGCTGTTGACCTGTTGCTCATTCCAGAACCATGCTGGGATCGTTCAAAATCTAGGTTCCCAAATTCATCAGAGTAAGTTCCTAACATGCTTATGGGAAGGAAGAAAAAACAAAGTTACCCAGTGTGGCACAGCTAAAGAAATTTTTGTCCCAGGCCTCCAGGTTATAAGAAGAAAAATATGGGGCTTCCCTGGAGGCGCAGTGATTGAGAGTTCGCCTGCCGATGCGAGGGATACGGGTTCGTGCCCTGGTCCGGGAAGATCCCACATGCCGCAGAGCGGCTGGTCCCGTGAGCCATGGCCGCTGAGCCTGCGCGTCCAGAGCCTGTGCCCCGCAACGGGAGAGGCCACAACAGTGAGAGGCCCGCGTACCGCAAAAACAAAAAAAAACAAACAAAAAAAAATTGTGGAAGTAGCCCTGAGGCTCACATAACAAAGATTTAAACATGTTTATTTATTGAGTGGCCACTGTGTAATTCACTATGTATTAACAGTTTGGGGATAAAAATATTTTGGACAGTTACCACTTTTAAGAAACTCCCTGTATTTGCAAAGAGAAATGCATAAAAATACAAAGTTGATAGGCTACAATATAAATACCTGGAACATTCTTTTTTTTTTTTTTTTTTTTTTTTGCGGTACGCGGGCCTTTCACTGCTGTGGCTTTTCCAGTTGCAGAGCACTCCGGACGCGCAGGCTCAGCGGCCATGGCTCACAGGCCCAGCCGCTCTGCGGCATGTGGGATACTCCCGGACTGGGGCACGAACCCATGTCCCCTGCATCGGCAGGAGGACTCTCGACCACTGCGCCACCAGGGAAGTCCTGGAACATGCTTTTTGATTCATGAAAAAAGAAATTCTAAATATACTAAATTTAGGCTTCACTTGGTAAAGATGTGTTCCAGCTCCTAGTGGAGCACCTGGCAAATAAAAGGTGTTGAAAAATACTCTGGATAATGAACTAGAAAGGTTCTGCTGAGTTGCAGTAATGATAGATATTAAAGGATATGCCTATTACTCCAGCTCTCTGCTGCTTTCCTCCTATTTTCACAGTATCATTAAGGAAAGAAATATGTACTTGACAGTAAATTTTAGTCAGAAGTCTGATAGTACTGGTTAGACATACAATTAGCCAGCCCTGTTGCTGATTCCCTGCCTGAATTCTCTGCCTATAAATGAGACATATATAGTCTCACAGCCAGGCTCATAGGCAAAGATGTTATTTAATCAGGAATTAATTAATCAAATATACATTGGTCACTTCCGAGGCAGTAGGCTTATCGTGGTGAACAAAATAGGTGCAATCCCTGCCTTTAAGGAGCTCACAGGAATGAGTTTAAAGGGTTACTAAAAACACAGCTTCATTTTGTTCCCTGAATAGACAGGAGCTCACATGAAAGAGAATGAACTGTACAAATAGGAATATGAGTCATCCAAGATTGTAATAATTGATAAAACAATTTGATGAATGTGTGTTTCCCCTAGATATATAGTATAATCTTATTTATGATTAACTACTTTACCATATAATTTACCATATACTTATTTCTCATAAAACAGTTATCACAAATGCTTTAGGCTACTATGTTAATTATAATAGCTAATATTTACCTTAATTATATTTATTTACCATGTGCTATCCTACTTAGTCCTTCCAGCAACCCTAAGACTTAGGGACTATTCTTATTCCCATTTTATAGATGAAGAAACAAAGCCTTGGAAGGTTAAGTGACTTGCCAAAGTTACACAGCTACTGAGTGGCATATCTGTGATTTGAAGAAAAGTATGTAAAATATGAGTTACTTTCCTTAAATAGAAAAAACTCTCACAATGATCTCTTAACCTTTGAAGGTGGCTCTGTTCTCTTCTGCTTCCTAGTTTATTTCCAATTCTAAGAGAAAGCTTATGTGAACTGTTGCCCATAAATATGTGGTTTTTATAGCTATGTGCTCTGATAATTGTGATGTATTGTCACAGTTTAGATTTTTATTATTTAGGCTTCTGCTTCCCAGTTAAAATGTAATTTTACAGGTTCCAGACCACGTTAAGGGCAAACATTCAAAAGTTGAGGAGACAGAAACTCTGAAATGGGGACTTCCCTGGTGGTCTAGGGGTTAAGACTCTATGCTTCCACTGCAGGTGGCACATGTTCCATCCCTGGTCAGGGAACTAAGATCCCACATGCCACACAGTGCAGCCAAAAAACAAAACAAAAACAAAAGAAACTCTCAAATGGAAGATTTAATGAATGAAAAATGATTACTAAGATCAACCTTACCATTAATGCAGTACATTTACTGAGGGCCTACTGTGTGCTAGGCATCAGTCTGGGCCCTGGGAGTACATGGTAAATGCGACAGATAAGGTCCCTTCTCTCAGAGTTTAGACTGAGAACAGAAAGCATGTTAAGTATCACAAAGCAGGTAATTCACGATCTAGTCTCAACATGTTTAACTGGGTCTTGATCTCTACCATGGAAATAATGCCAGGTAACTCCAATCATTTGGAATCAAACTAGCCTCTTTTTTCCCTGAAAATTTTTATAAAAGTTAATAAACACTCAAGCAATTCAGGGAAACAAACTGGAAATCTCATGTGGGTGCTATTTACACTTAATAATGAGAACTCTTTTTTCAGGAGCCCTGAAGAAAACTGACAGCCTGATGCTAATTCAGTTTTACCAGCAAGGCAACTTTGAGAAGTAGAAACAAATACAAGTTCCACAAGGAAAAGCCCATGTAAATACTGTCTGACATGAGTATTCAGACATGCATAACTATTCATAAATGAGCACTGTAGTATTTTTATTGAAAAGGCAATTAGAACATAATATACCTTGCTTAAGTATAATGCTCAGATATGAGAACTAATCCATGTTGTCCACAGACCTGTGGATTTACTGTAGAGAAACACCAGATTGGCTGCTTGAGGCAAAGTTTGGGGTCTGAGGCCTTGGGAGAGTGACAAAGGGTAAAGCCTCAAAAACCAAATGCTACAGGTGAAGGAGAGTGGCTGGGGTAGTCTGACCCTTGATTTGCTTGACTGCCAACAGTCTATGAAGTAGAAGCACATGACACTCTTCAGTAGAGCCAGGCACCAGAAAACCCAAAGAAAGGGCGAGAGAGCATTAAAAAGAAAAGAAAACCAGGAGCGGCAATCTTGGCTCCACTTCCAAAGGTGAAGCACTTAAGGGTACAATGCACAGAAAGAGAAAGATACACATACTCAAGATTGTGAGCAAAGAGGCAGCTTCTTGTCATTAAATGAGAAGTCCCTGTTGTTGGTGCTTGTTTTCAATTAGGAAAAAATTTTAGAATCCAAGATTTCTAGAATTTTGGTTGGGTTCAGTGACTTACTTTCCTAGTGAAAAAAAGGATCTCTATTAGGACTCTCAGTTTCTTATTGGTCTCGTCTCCCAGGAAGTTAGACCTACGAGAAGTCAGGCAGGCAGCTGGTTTTTGTGGCCATTCCTTTACTTCATATGCTGGTACACTGAGCCCTGGCAGCATGTTGTATGAGAAAGTCTAGTAATTCCTATCTGTTTGCTTATAAATGATCAACTGGAGGGTCTCCAGCACAATGAAGCCAGCCTGGTAAAATTTTCACCTACAAGACCCCTCGAACCCTAGTAGTGAGTCACGTAAAAGAGAAAATTGATGGTTCAAGTGCTGTGTGATGCTAAACCAGTAAGATATTAAGATATAGAGGGTAATATGTTAGGAATTGGTCGAAAGCATTGGTAGTCATTAATTGTTAATAATTTTATTCATTATGAGGCAGTTAGTTACTCTGGGGCCAGCAATAAAAAATTATAAGCTGTCAATTCTTTTTTTTTTTTTTTTTAGCCACACCACGCAACGTGTGGGATCTTAGTTCCCTGACCAGGGATGGAACCTGCGCCCCCTGCACTAGCAGCTGTCTTAACCACTGGACTACCAGGGAAGTCTCCAGAGAGGAGATCTTTAAAGTTGTCATCACAAGAAAATAAATTGTAACTGTGCAGTGATGAATGTTACCTAGACTTACTGTGGTGATCATTTTGATATACGTATATCACATATATATATAATATCATTATGTTGTACACCTGAAACTAATAATGGTATATGTTAATTATATCTCAATTGAAAAAAAAAAGGTACAGAACAGAGTAAGTTATATGCTATTTACAAGAAAGTAATGGGTGTCCTGGTAAAGAGGAAGGGTGGATGGTAAACAGGATGGAGGCAAGCCTTCTCAAAGTATGTTTTTGAATTGATTTTAGAACTATGTGAATGTATTACCCATTCAAAAAAACCTTTTTTTTTAATGTAAAGATTATTTACACAGGAATATTTTAAACCAGTAAAGTACAATTTGTTCCAAGGAAAATAAGTGATCAAATGGGCTAAATAAAAATAATATTGCTTGTCCCAGTTAAATATATAATTTGAGATGGAAAGATGACTGGTATTTCACTTAAAACAGCATTTAAAATGTAATCTTACCTATATTTCATAATTTCAACTATGTCCTCAGCATCTTCTTTGGTTGCTTCCTCTCTCAATTCCAACCTTGCTCGTGCCTTTTAAAGAAAACAACCATCTTCAGATAACAAAAGATAAATATATTTAACACTGATTGAGCAGGTATAGTATGTCTAAGTTTATTTCATTTATTCATTTTACACAAAACTTTTTTGGGAAGAGGGGCTGTAGTATGAAAAGTCACAATTTTAAAAAATTATCTGAAAACTTGAGTATGAAAATTATCACTCATTTTAAAATCTATTGTTATCTACTAAAATAGATTTTAGTAGATAAAAATTTTTTGAACATCTTTCTGAATGCTCATTCTAGAAGATTTGATTATGAAATAGACTTGCCTTGTACTTTCAGGAAATCATGCCTAACTAATTTGTTAAAACAACAAAGATGAGTTACTCAGATTCTAGGAGCAAAAAAGCTCAAACTCTGATCCAGTTAATTTTAACTGCCGGAGTTCTCTTAGCATTCCATAATTGTGAATAGATGTTACTGCCGTTAGAAAAACAGGCACTTACAGACCTGTTGTATATAAAATCAAATACTCCTAAGATATTTGACACATTCCATGTTCCCACATGCTCACTTTTGAATTCCCAAATCCTTAGTTAACCTAAGCAATCTTCAAACTTCAAGAGTCTCCTAAGTGTCATTAAAGGAAAAAAACCCATTGCATAAGTAACTGGTCCTGCTTCGAAAAAAGTGGTTAAACTTTGATTGTTAAGTATATGACAACCCTTTTAAAAAAAATGTATCTACCCATTTCTAATGTCTCTCAGTAGGAAGAAAAGCAAATCATTACACAGAAAATTGAGAGAAATCTTATTACCCTCTACTTCCTTTTTAAGCCAAAAGAATGTGAACTTAAAATCAACGAACCTCTGTTAAACGAATCAAAGATTCCAGCTGCCTAGTAGTGATTGGTGAGCTATTTAACCGCTGGCTCTGTTTCCGGAGCTCAAGGTAAAAATCCTGAAGAATTTGAGTAGCTTCTGTGGATAGCCTTGGAGAGACATACTGCCGAGCATAACCAATGTACTTTCTCAATAGCTGGTGGGGAATTGGATCTATTGTTTCTCCAGGAACCACCTAAAGCATGATAAAAAGGCCCAAGATTACAAGGATAAGTAGCAAATAAAATCTTTCTGCTAAAATAACTTGTTTAGATAAATAGACCAAATAAGCCAAACACTGTAGTTCTAGCTCTCAGTCTAGTTGACTCAGATTATTTCAACTGAACTTTATATAAACTCTAGTATTATAATATAAAAGGTATTTGCTATGAAAGTTTACATACTACTGCTCTACAACAAGCAACACACTGAACTCTGACATTCAAACAAAACTGAACTGAATGATTAAGAAGAAGCATACCTTTAGTCTTTCTGATAGTGGTTTATCAGAAACCACTTCAAGTATAGAAGTATTTGAATCTTGACTATTCATACGAGCTACTGTGGCACTGCTAACAGCTCTCTGCTTTCCAGCCCTTATTGCAATCACATGTTCAGAGAGTAAATGATCATGATCCTCATTTGGGGTGTCTAACAGGATAAAGACTAAATCAAATCTGGATAGTAGGGCACTCCCCATTCTAAAGGTGTGAAAGAAAGAAGAAACAGTGATCGGAATTAAAACAAACAGAAAACCTAGAAAACTGTTTACTCACTTGCTTACTAATCAAGTTCCAGGTAGAACTTAAAAAAAAGAAAATGAAGCTTTAGGTTAAAGAAACAAGCAATAGCTTCTGGATTCAATATACCCACCAACTCCAGAGACACACCAGGTCACATGTGCACAGCCTTATATGTACCTATATCGGTATGTTGAGGACGCAGTCTTTTCTCACACCAGCAAAACCACTAAATTCTTCTCTATGTTCTATATCACTCCCTATGATTTAGGATCATTGAACTTGTAAGCTAGAATGCTACATGATACATCGAAGGTTATCTGGATGAGTAGTTCTTAATCTTTTATATTTCCTGTCTCACCAAAACATTGAGTCTCTCAAAGTACCTAAGCCCATTTAGAAGCAAAAATACCACTTTTTCTTAAAGGGGCATTTATATGTCTATTAATCATTATAGTAAAAGTGCTGTGTTTTACTTAGTCATTTCTAAATTTACCAACCAGATAACTCCTTTATTTGAGACCAACAAACTGAAATCCAGAGAGGTTAAAGAATTGGACCAACATCCTAGTGGTACCACTAAAAACCAGAATCCAAGTTCCCTGGATCCTTGTTCAATAAGATCTTTCTGATCTTTCCAATTACAGGACTTGGTCATTTTATTAAGAAACACTAACAGACGGCTTTTTTGGTGGTAGTACAGAAATACCCAGGATCTAAAAGTACAATTGTGTTTTTTACTATGTACCATTCCTACAATAAAAGTATTTATTATTAAATATTAGAAAATTAGCTTTTTGTTTCCCACTAGAATTTAAAGTTCCAATTTTTTACATGAGGCATCTTTTTGTCTTTTTCTCACTTATGCATCACTTGAGGCTATTTTCCCCTCCCCATACATTTTGTCCAACCTGTACAGAACAAATTAGAAGAGAAAGCATACACACACCCAGATATAAACATTGGTTTTGGAAAAAAGTGGGATCCACATATACAGATAAGTGTGTAATGTGCTCCTCTCACTTAACCATAAAGCACAGACATGTTCCCCTATCACAGTACATACAAAGCTACCTTCATTCTCCTAATTGCTACTTTCCACAGTACAGTCTTATTATCTAGTTCAAGCACTTCCCTACCGATGGGGGCACTTCACGTTATTTACAATCTTTGGCGTGATAAATAATGCCGTAAGACCCACCCTGCCAACATATCTTTGTGCACTCTTGTGCCTATTTCTGTGAGTATAATTCCCAAAAGAATTGGCTGGAACAAACAGAATATATTTAAAATAGTGATAAACATGTCAAGCTGTCCTTCAAAATGCTAAACTATGTATGTGAGAACCCATTTCGCCACCCCATTGCCAATAATGATTAATATTTAAAATATCTGCCAATCTGGTAGATGTCAAGAGCACTTCATTGTTTTATTCTTTTATTTTATTTTGGGCTTGCCATGTGGCATGCAGGATCTTAGTTCCCTGATAAGGGATCGAACCCGTGCCCTCTGCATTGGGGGCGTGGAGTCTTAACCATTGGACTGCCAGGGAGGTCCCAGCACTTCACTGTTTTAACGTGCAGTGTTCTAATACATTTTTGTCCATTTATTGGAAACTTGCAACTTCTGTGAACTTTCCATTTATGTCCTCAGTTATCTTCTTCATATCTATAGGCATTCAATATACTAAAGTATAAATATTTGAAGAGGCTTACTTTAAATTCTCAGAAACTGTTTTAGCTTTATTGTAGTGTCCTCCTACTGGATTGGCAGCAGCAATAATGGAAGTTCTTGCAGGAAGGCTGCAAACTACGCCAGCCTTAGCGAGACTAATACATTGCTGTTCCATGGCTTCTAACAAGGCTTGATGTTGATTCCCCATCTTATCAAATTCATCTATTCCACAGATACCTACAACCACAGTAAAATAATTCAGACAAAAAATATTCCTTTCGTCAAGTTTCAAACCTGACAAGATAGAAATTATTCCACAATAAAGCATATTTCCATTAGTTTCCAACAGTTAAGATTATAAAATGTCATACAGTACAAACTTTGTGCTTGTTTTACAGCAAATAAAATATTTATCTTATTTAACTGTTATATAATATTTAGTCATTTAGCATTTTCCTTGGGCAAGGCACTATGTGGTGAGGGTTACAAAAATGAAGATATGAGAGTGACCCTCAAAAAGCTCAAAGGCTTAAATTTGAACAGATAATATATATATACACATTTAAGATAGTATATTTTAACAACTATAATATATATGCATAATCATATGAATTTTCTGGGGGTGGGATGGAGTTAAAAGAGGCAGGAGAATCTGGAAAGGTTTCAAGAAAAAGGTGCTATTTGAGCTGGGTCCTTTGGGAACAGTGGACAGCATGATTTGGGAAGGAACACAAAGCCTCTAAAGTCAGAATCTGTCTAGAGTGCAGTTCTCAGCAATGCCAGGTGTTGACTGTACAACTGTAGAGTTAACTGTACACTTAACCTCTTTAAACACCACATGAAGGCCCACCACTGAACAGGGAGGAGCAGCGGTAAGGAGTATCAGTTTTTAGATTCCACCTATAAGTGATCATACGATAAGTCTCCTTCTCTGTCTGACTTATGTCACTTAGTATGATCGTACCTAGGTCCATCCTAGATAAAACTATTTTTTTTTTTTTTTTTTGCGGTACGCGGGCCTCTCACTGTTGTGGTCCCTCCCGTTGCGGAGCACAGGCTCCGGAAGCACAGGCTCAGCGGCCATGGCTCACGGGCCCAGCCGCTCCGCGGCATGTGGAATCCTCCCGGACCGGGGCACGAACCCGTGTCCCCCGCATCAGCAGGCGGACTCTCAACCACTGCGCCACCAGGGAAGCCCGATAAAACATTTTATGCGCCAGGTATATTACGTCTAAACCACAGGTTTCTGGAAGCCCTCTAACATTACCTTGTAATATTTTTCCTCCGCTTCTGCCCATACCATGAGCAATTTGGTGGTCATGTCCTGAGGACTTTGCTATGGTTAAATGTCTCTATATCTACTTTATGATCAGTAGGTCCAGGACTCTCTGGAATTGATGGTATTATTGGAAGTTCTCAAGATTACTAGTACAGTTCCTCAGAGGTGTGGACAGGGTAGGAACAAAGTCAGGCTACCTCTTTGCCACTTTTCAAAGTTTAACGCAGGAGCTGGCAAACTTTTCCTATAAACGGGCAGATGAAATTTTTTATGTTTTGTGGGCCACATATAGTCTGTCACGTATTCTTGGGTTTTTGTTTGTCCTTTACAATCCTTTAAAATAGCTTGTGGACTACACTAAAATAGGCTGAAGGGTGGGTTGACTTGTGGACTAAACTTTGCCAACCCCTGGTTTTAAAGCATATAGTTTAAGTTGTGAAAATTTTACTCTTTTTCTTGTTTGGCTACAATTGGTATATCTTGTTGCTTTTTTTTCAAACAACTTTTTGGTCATTTCATTAGATATTGAAGAAGGGAAATATTACAAAACAGCTCTATTTCTCGTTTTTTTTCCCCTGAAAGTCTTCAGTAAAGATTTTAGTAGGATCCTATTTTTTAGTAGGATTCTATTTGTTTCTAGAATCTGGTCTCGGCTAATATTCTTTTGTATTTTAACAGTGATATTTTTACCATCATTGTGCTTGGCTCATCTACATAGATTTGAAAGAGAAGGCCATTGGCTTTTTTTTTTTAACTTTATTTTATTATTTTTGGCTGCGTTGGGTCTTCATTGCTGCACGCGGGCTTTTCTCTGGTTGCAGCAAGCGGGGGCTACTCTTCGTTGCAGTTCACAGGCTTCTCATTGCAGTGGCTTCTCTTGTTGCAGAGCACGGGCTCTAGGAGCGCAGGCTTCAGTAGTTGTGGCTCGCAGGCTCTAGAGCGCAGGCTCAGTAGTTGTGGTGCATGGGCTTAGTTGCTCCGCGGCATGTGGGATCTTCCTGGACCAGGGCTCGAAGCCGTGTCCCCTGCATTGGCCGGCGGATTCTTAACCACTGTGCCACCAGGGAAGCCCTGGCCATGGACTTTTAACGCTGTGCATCTTAAATCACATTAGCTATCTGCACAGCTAAACCCTGTATCACCTTCAACTTCTATTTAATGGAAAGTCTGACAGCTTAATAATGAGTAACCTCTTCCTATTTATTATTTTCTTCACCTGGTAACCTAGCAAAAATACTGTCACTTCTAATGAGCTATATAATAACCAGATATATGTTTGTTGAATTTATGCATTCATCAAATATTTACTGAATGCTTTTTATATATCAATACTATGTTCTAGGCATGCGGGATATAGCACTGCGAAGACAATATTCTCTGTCCTTGTGAAGGTTACATTCTATTCAGTGTTGGGAGGAAGACAATTAAAAAAGTAGACCATATGGTATATTAGAAGGTAAGAAATGCTCTGGAAAGAAAGGTAGAGTAGGGTAGGAGAACAGGGTCTGCTGGTGGTGGTGGTGGGGGTGGTTACAGTGTAAAATGTGGTGTTAAAGGAAGGCCTCGCTGGGGTCAGGACTTTTGAACAAAAATTTGAAGGAGGAAAGGAAATAAGCCTTGCAGACTATCTGGGGTAAGAAGGTTCCAAAGTACAAAGGCTGCGATGCAGGAATGTGATGTGCCTGGAGTGCTGATGGTATTCAAGGTATAGCAGGGAGGCCAGTGTAGCTGGGGAAGAGGAACTAAGAGGAAAGTAGCAGGTAATGAGGCAAAAGAGGTGATTAAAGGGTGCCTGGGCCACTATCAAACTTGGGCTTTCACTGTGTGAGATGGGAAGGCACTGGAGGGTTTTGAATAGAAGAATAATGTGATCTAAGTTTTAATGGGATTGCTCTGCCTTATTAAAAACAATAGAAGGGCAAAGGTGGTCACAGGTATGCCAACTAGGAGATCACAGTAATAATCCACGTGAGAGATGATGGCGTCTTGGATTGGGGTAGCAGCAGTGGAGAGGTGGTTGGATACTGGTTATATCTGGAAGGTAGAGCCAATAAGATTTGCTGACAGACTGGATGTGAGGTATGAGAAAAAGTCAAGAATGTCTTCACGTTTTCTGATATGAGCAAATAAAAGGATGGAAGTGTCATTTACTAAGATGGGAAACACTGTAAGAAGAATAGGTTGAAGGGGAAGATCAAGATTTTGGTTTTGGACACGCTAAGTTTGAGAAAGCTGTAGAGATACTGCATAGGCAAGGGGAAATATGTGCCTGGAGTTCAAGGGGGAGGAAACATAAATTTGGAAAATTTCAGGATATAAGTAGGTAAAGAGCTATGAAGCTAGATAAGATCATCAAGAAGGTAAGTACAGACTGAGAAGAAAATAGTACAAAAACTAAGTTATCCTGAGGAGCCAACCAGTTAAAACGTTGGGGAGACGAAGAACAAGTAAAGACTGAGACTGAACAGTGAATAAAAGTAAGAGGAAAACCAGAAGAGTGCAGTGTCCTTGAAACCAAGGAGATACAGTATTCACTGAGGCAGCAGTGATCAGCTGTGTCAAACATGGCTGACAGGTACTAGATTTAGAAATGTGATGTCACTGGCAAACTGGAAGGAATGAATGACCTCAGCTGGACTGGAACCTGGGCACTGCCTGATACATGCACAGGAATATGTTTTCCCAATCGGGTTAAAGCATCACAAAGAGAAATTTAGGTAGCAAAGCCCAACTGGCGATCTCTTCCTGCTGAGCCTTCCAACTAGATTTCTTATAAACTATCCATCATATCCTAAAAAAACAAACAAACAAAATGATGAGATGTGCATTTCTAGTTTTTCTGGCACTCATTCTCAACTCACTGGTTGGGACGGTGTTGTCCAAATGACTCTTAGAACAGACTGTAAAGAAATTAACTGAAAAGGAAAGGGCTTAAAAAAAAAAAGCCCCAAAATTATTATTTGCTTTGGCCTCTTACCTTGATCACCAAGTACCAGGGCACCAGCTTCCAAAGCAAAATCTCCAGAGGAACTATCTTTTGAAAGAGTTACAGTCAAACCAGAGGTGGTTGTGGTATTACCACAAACATACACGCCACGTGGAGCAACACTGCACACTGCCTAATGAAACAAAGAGTTTAAGAGAATCAACCAAAGTAAAAGGGAAATAATAGCTATAGTAGTTGCTCACAAATATTAGCTATATGCCAGGTATTCTTCTAAGAGCTTTACTGTACAATCTTCACCACCACAGTAAGACGAAGGTAACACTCCTATTACTGATGTAGAAACTAAGGTCTGAAGAGAGTAACTTACACAGCTATGAAGGTGTGACGTTAGGATTCAATCAAACCCAGGCAGCCTGATTCTGAAGTCTGTGGTCATGTGAATACTCTACACAATTCCATTTTATGCTTCATTTTCAAGTTGAAATAGCAAAAATGTAAGTACTAAGTTTAGTTTCAGAGACTCCAATGCTTCTTTAAACATCAGGTAATAAAATGGCTCAACAGTGCTCACCTTCTGAGTAAATAAGATACGGCACGACAGAAAAGTAGTTAAATGACACAACAGCTAAAAGTATGGATCTCTGGAGTCAGACAGACCTGTTTAAATCCTGGCTCTACCACGCATCTACTGGTGGTGCTGCCTTGAACCTCTCGGAGCCTCAGCTTCCTTATATTTTATCACATACTGCCTTGAGGAATAAATGAGATCGTATATGCAAGGCACTTAACCTGGTACCTGGCATACAATACATGCCCTGTGCAAGGCTGCTGTACACAGCTGTGCACCCCACAACCTTAGGAGACAGCACTTACACTGCTATCTATGTCAATAGTGCGCTCTGGACTTGCGTAGCATACAACCCAAGTGATGCTTCGGTGCCTAGCTAAATAAATGGTAGCTATCATTATTTTTGTTACTTGTAATTCCTTAGTTGTTAGTTTCAGAGTATGATGGCTTGCTAAATGGTCAAAGGAAAACATAATTTAAAAATATAAACAACTCATAACTGTTAGTGTTAGCCTAATTTTTAAAAACCTTGGCTTAGTGGGGCTAGCAGACTTAAATGCAATTCAGATCCCCACATGCACTTTTACATGCATATTCTGCCTAAGTATATACTGTTTTCATTTTTACTATCAACTCTGTTTCAGCTATAACTGGGTACTCTATGCCTCAGTTGTCAGGCTTATAGCATGTGTTCAGAAGAGAATTAAAAAAAAAAAGTTGACCCAATTGGCCAAAATGAACAAAACTGGGAAACACAGGATTAAATAAATATCAGATTAGGAATTAAAATGATAAGTGATTTAACACTCAGCCATAGGGAATAAATAATGACTCTGACATGAAGGACAGTAGGTTTATAATACAATGAGATCAAGAGTTTTCAATCCTGGCTGCACTTCAGAATCACCTGTGTTTATAAACGTGCAGATGCTAGGATCCTAACCCAGAGATTCTTAATTCTTAATACCAGGGACGGCCACGGTATTTTCGAAAATCTCCAAAGGTGATAGTGATATGCATTGCTGGCTTACCAGGTATCACTCCAAGGAAACCAGAAGCACTCCAACCAGCTGCATTTTCTAGGGCCAGCATAAGCCCTGGAGGGGAGAACTACTAGGCTCTGATTGGCACAGCCAAAATCATCTTGGGGACCAACAACAGACTGGTCATAGAAGTTTCCTTGTTTTAGACTCAGAAAGAAGCAGTGGAGATGGATAGGACAGACCTCTTACCTTTATCAGACTATTCTTAAAGCCCAATACAGTGTTTATGTAGCTGTATGAAGAGATAACAGGTTACCCTGCTTTACTTTCTTGAACTATTCTTTTCATAGGTGAGGTCACAACAACAAAGACTAGCAAAGCAACGCTGGATACAAAAAAGGGGGTTAGGGAAATGGTTAATATTTCACAATAGTTGACATCTTAACAGAGCAGCATGCTTGTGCAGCCTGAGTGACAGGAGACTGGCTCAATTTGAAAGGATGGCCAGATACAAGTTATATATTATTCACACAAACCCCAACTCACTCACACTACCTGACAAATAATACCCTCTGGAACACAAACACTGTATGTTTTAAGAAAATTCACTTGTGAATTAGTCATGCATTTTATAAGCAAAAGGTCAAATACTAAATGTCTGATTTCCTACCTGTAGCATCTGACTCTTTCCCAAGCCTGGGTCTCCAACAACAAGGACATGTGGGTCTCCTCGAATTGGAATTCTGTTTTTGTCATCTACATATTTCTGGCTTCCTCCAAAGAGTGCTAACGCCAAACCTGCTTTAACAAGCTCAGATGTGAAAGAAGAGAGAGAAGAAACAAGTGAGAAAAACATAAAGATGACTAGCAAAAGGGGTGCTCCTCCGATGTTTACAACATTTGTGTGTGGATTCTTTTTTTTTAAAGCATAATTGAACTCTGTTTTTTTTTCTTTTCCTAAGAAAAGTAAGTCTAAAAATATAAACTTCTTTAATGTAAATGATTAAAAAGCTTAGGGCTTCCCTGGTGGCGCAGTGGTTGAGAGTCCGCCTGCCGATGCAGGGGACATGGGTTTGTGCCCCGGTCCAGGAAGATCCCACATGCCGCGGAGCGGCTGGGCCCGTGAGCCAGGGCCGCTGAGCCTGCGCGTCCAGAGCCTGTGCTCCGCAACGGGAGAGGCCACAACGGTGAGAGGCCCGCATACCGCAAAACAAAAACAAAAACAATAAAAAGCTTAAATTAGAAAGCATATAAAATCAGGTTATCTTAAAAGTCACTGAGTGAAGACCTACCTTGCCAGGCATTGAATCCATTCCACAAAACTGAGAAATCTTTGTTATCTTCTGCTTTAACATTTACAGTGTCCAGAGTCACTTTAAAAAAAGGTCATTCCTATTGACTCTAACTGGTAAGCAGCTCTGTCTTACAAGGGACTGTAGTTTATCTTTCATATAATGATTCATATTAAAATATGAGAGACCTCCTTGGTGGCGCAGTGGTTAAGAATCCACCTGCCAATGCAGGGGACACAGGTTTGAGCCCTGGTCCGGGAAGATCCCACATGCTACGGAGCAACTAAGCGTGTGTGCCACAACTAATAAGCCTGCATTCCAGAGCCCGCAAGCAACAACTACAGAGCCCACACGCCACAACTACTGAAGTCCGCGCACCTAGAGCCCACACTCTGCAACAGGAGAAGCCACCGCAATGAGAAGCCCGCGCACGGCAACAAAGAGTAGCCTCTGCTTGCCGCAACCAGAGAAAAGCCCATGCACATCAATGAAGACCCAACAGAGACAAAGAAAATTAATTAATTTAAAAAAAATACTTAGAGCTAATCAATGAATTTGGTAAAGTGGCAGGATACAAAATTAATGCACAGAAATCTCTGGCATTCCTATATACTAATGATGAAAAATCTGAAAGTGAAATCAAGAAAACACTCCCCTTTACCATTGCAACAAAAAGAATAAAATATCTAGGAATAAACCTACCTAAGGAGACAAAAGACCTGTATGCAGAAAATTATAAGACACTGATGAAAGAAATTAAAGATGATACAAATAGATGGAGAGATATACCATGTTCCTGGATTGGAAGAATCAACATTGTGAAAATGACTCTACTACCCAAAGCAATCTATAGATTCAATGCAATCCCTATCAAACTACCACTGGCATTTTTCACAGAACTAGAACAAAAAATTTTGCAATTTGTATGGAAACACAAAAGACCCCGAATAGCCAAAGCAATCTTGAGAACGAAAAAAGGAACTGGAGGGATCAGGCTCCCTGACTTCAGACTATACTACAAAGCTACAGTTATCAAGACAGTATGGTACTGGCACAAAAACAGAAAGATAGATCAATGGAACAGGATAGAAAGCCCAGAGATAAACCCACGCATATATGGACACCTTATCTTTGATAAAGGTGGCAGGAATGTACAGTGGAGAAAGGACAGCCTCTTCAATAAGTGGTGCTGGGAAAACTGGACAGGTACATGTAAAAGTATGAGATTAGATCACTCCCTAACACCATACACAAAAATAAGCTCAAAATGGATTAAAGACCTAAATGTAAGGCAAGAAACTATCAAACTCTTAGAGGAAAACATAGGCAGAACACTCTATGACATAAATCACAGCAAGATCCTTTCTGACCCACCTCCTAGAGAAATGGAAATAAAAACAAAAATAAACAAATGGGACCTAATGAAACTTAAAAGCTTTTGCACAGCAAAGGAAACTATAAACAAGACCAAAAGACAGCCCTCAGAAAGGGAGAAAATATTTGCAAATGAAGCAACCGACAAAGGATTAATCTCCAAAATTTACAAGCAGCTCATGCAGCTCAATAACAAAAAAACAAACAACCCAATCCAAAAATGGGCAGAAGACCTAAACAGACATTTCTCCAAAGAAGATATACAGACTGCCAACAAACACATGAAAGAATCCTCAACATCATTAGTCATTAGAGAAATGCAAATCAAAACTACAATGAGATATCATCTCACACCAGTCAGAATGGCCATCATCAAAAAATCTAGAAACAATACATGCTGGAGAGGGTGTGGAGAAAAGGGAACACTCTTGCACTGCTGGTGGGAATGTGAATTGGTTCAGCCACTATGGAGAACAGTATGGAGGTTCCTTAAAAAACTACAAATAGAACTACCATATGACCCAGCAATCCCACTACTGGGCATATACCCTGAGAAAACCAAAATTCAAAGAGTCATGTACCAAAATGTTCATTGCAGCTCTATTTACAATAGCCCGGAGATGGAAACAACCTAAGTGCCCATCATCGGATGAATGGATAAAGAAGATGTGGCACATATATACAATGGAATATTACTCAGCCATAAAAAGAAACGAAATTGAGCTATTTGTAATGAGGTGGATAGACCTAGAGTCTGTCATACAGAGTGAAGTAAGTCAGAAAGAAAAAGACAAATACCATATGCTAACACATATATATGGAATTTAAGAAAAAAAATGTCATGAAGAACCTAGGGGTAAGGCAGGAATAAAGACGCAGACCTCCTAGAGAACGGACTTGAGGTTATGGGGAGGGGGAAGGGTGAGCTGTGACAGGGCGAGAGAGAGTCATGGACATATACACACTAATAAACACAGTAAGGTAGATAGCTAGTGGGAAGCAGCCGCATGGCACAGGGATATTGGCTCGGTGCTTTGTGACAGCCTGGAGGGGTGGGATAGGGAGGGTGGGAGGGAGGGAGACGCAAGAGGGAAGACATATGGGAACATATGTTTATGTATGACTGATTCACTTTGTTATAAAGCAGAAACTAACACACCACTGTAAAGCAATTATACCCCAATAAAGATGTTAAAAAAAAATACTAAACTTAATTGCTTTAAATAAATAAATAAAATATGAATAACTGTCCAACAGAAATGACTATTATTTGTGATATCTCTATATACTATTTTTGCCAAATTTATGTATTTTTGAGCAAAGAGGAAGTAAAATACTTACTTCATGACCAAAAATGACAGGGCAAAGCGAGCTGAAAAACAGAATATGACTTATAAATTCTAACTTACATTTCAGTGATACACTAGAAGATCTACTTTACAATTTGCTTAACTTGCTTTATTTAGCATCAAAAGAAAATAGTAAAAAATAAAAATTTACATCTCCTCAAACAACTCAAGAAATTTTATTCTAACAGTAAATTTATCAAAATTCTTGGTGAATCTATAAAGGGAAGAATGTTTTAAAAAGTGTGCCTGTGTAAGGGAGGCAGGACACTTGTAAAGCATTTATATTACTAGCCTTTAAAATGCATCATAGGGACCTCCCTAGTGATCCAGTGGTTAAGACTCCACGCTTCCAATGCAGGGGGCGAGGGTTCTATCCCTGGTCAGGTAACTAAGATCCCTCATGCCACATGAAGCGCCACAAAAAAAAAAAAAAAAAAAAAAAAAGATCATAATTATGGTCTTCTACTTTAGGCTTTAGGATATCAAATTACATTCTATTTTACATGAATAGACATCTTTAGACCTGTGCAGCCAAGTCACTGAATGAAGGAGACTAAAGGGTGAAATGAGTACATAATAAAGGGATAAAATTTCATTTTTTCAGTTCAAAGAATCAGAATAAATAAGGCCATATATGAATATATAAAGTATTATGTTGAATATAAAGAAGTAGTTCCCATTTATCAATTATATAAACAGGAACAAAAAGGACAGGGAGGAAGAGATATAATCAGTTAACTGTGAATCATTATCCCTGTTAATACATGTCAACACAGAAGTTGGTGTCCTGCCACTTCCCCTTGGCAATCATTGTTCAGCGTGCTCCTGCATGATCACTGCTGGCCTCTTACCAAGCACCTGCACCTGTCTGCCAAAGGGCTTTCTGTGGCTGCAGAAGCATCATCAGCAGGCAGGCTGGGCAGGCCAGAAGTGCTCGGATGTCTAATATTCTCAGGAGCAGCCCCAAATCTAGGCCCTTAGATGGAAAAATACTGAGGCTAGCTCTATAGTCAAGTGTCCCAGAGGCCTCAGAAGGATTAAGCCTTTATTAAGCCTCCATTAAGGTACCATACACTAACTGCCCTCCCTTCTCTGTCTCACTTCCCCATTCTCCTCCCAGTATTTCTGGGGATCACCTCCCAAAGAAACTACATTTATGCAAATCATTGCTTCTGAAGGAACCTAAACTAAAACAGCCTTCTATTGTCTTCTCCGTTCTCTTTTCATAGGCCTCAATTAATCTAGCAAGGGTTGACAACATTTTTCCTAAAGGGCCAGAAAGTAAATAGTTTCAGTTTTACTGTCTGGGTCACAACTACCCAACTTTTGTCAAAGCCAACAATTTGTAAATAAATGGGTGGGGCTGTGCTCTAATAAAAACTTTATTTACCAAAACAAGCAGCCTGCCTAGTTTGCCAACCCCTGCAAGATTCACAAATGGAGGACCATGAAAAATTCAAGTTTTGATGTTGGAATCACAAACTTAGAACTAAAAGGTAAAAGCAAACTGTAGGAAGGAAACCCAGGTTTTTCATACTAACTTATCTTCCTTAAGTATGACAGAAGAAGGACCACTGCAAATGTTCATTTTTATTTATAACTGGTAAGAGGTACCAATCAAAGAGGTGTTTTGGTCCTCAACCAGGGTGTTCCTTGGCCACCTGCTACAGACCACTCACCACCCCAACATTTATCACCAGATCACATCGCCACCCTAGCTCAGAGCACCCTCTCTCCCAGGGTGGGTTTGGATGGCCATCTATTCAAAGGACATCTCTAAGGGTTTAAGGACAAAGAACTCCTGAGGAACTCTATACTTTTCCCAGCTTTCTAATTAACATATTAAAGGCAGAAAGAAAAACTGTTAAATTCTCCTAGAGCCCAAAGCCTAGGTGAAGAGATAAGCGTGACAAGATCAATTTTTCTAATACAATGCACTTCAAAACCTCAGTTCTTTACCTCTGGTACAGCTACTATTCGGTCTCTCACATTTTCTCCTATTTCTTCAAAGTTATCCAAAAATTTGTCAAAATACTTCAAAATAACAGCACATTGTGTTAACTATGTTAAGTACATAATGAAATCTCATTTAATCTTCAGAACAACATTCTGAGGCAGGTATTATTATTTCTACTTTAAGAAGATAAAAATGAAGGAGAAATTAACATGCCCCAGATCACATTGGAAGTGGCTGAAGCAAGATTCTAACTCAGGTTTATCTTCTAGAAAAGGCTCGTAATCACTAAAGCAAAAATGCCTCTACACTGCTTCTTCTCTACTGCAGGGCAATAACACGGAAATAAAAAAATATTATGAAATACTTATCAATAGTAAGTGACTTCGATGTGAATCTATTTCTTGCTTTTTAAAAGTAAACAAACAACACCCTACATACAAGTAGTTGAACTGACTTTGTAATTCACTGTCCCATGACTCTTCAGTTGAGTAACTAGATTGTGTAATATAGTAAATTTTCCTTATTGTTTCAACTAGAGATCAGTAAACTTATCTGTAAAGGTACAAACACATAAATATCTGTGAGCCATTCTCTATTGCATCTACTCAACTCTGCCCCTGTAGCTCAAAAGCAGTCAGATACTATGTAAATGAACAAGTGTGGCTGTGTTCCAATAAAAGTTTACTTATGGATAGCAAAATTTGAACTTCATGTAGTTTTGTGTGTCATGAAATATTCTTTTTAATTTTTTTCAGCTATGAAAAAATGTAAAAACCACTCAGCTTATGGGCTGTACAAAGATGGGTGATTAGCTGGATTATATCTCTTCCACTCTGTCCTTTTTGTTTGTTCCTATTTATACAATTGACAAATGTAAAATACTTCTTTATATTCAACATAATACTTCATATATTCATATATGGCCTTATTTATTCTGATTCTTTGAATTGAACTGAAAAAATGAAATTTTATCCCTTCTTTAAATATTATGTATGCAGTTCACCCTTTAGTCTCCTTCTTTCAATGACTTGGCTGCACAGGTCTAAAGATGTCTAATGAATTGTAATTTGCAAACATTTTGATTAGTTTTCAGTTATTGGTAGCCAAGAGCACCCCCAACATGCACACGATAAAGTAAAACTTGAGATAACCTCATACATACTTGACAATGAGTTTAAACAGGTTTTCTTCAGATTGAATCTCCTGGATGGCATAAAGGTCCTTAAGTGAGAACTCCATCAATGTTCCATGCTTATACTCATCCTCGGAAGGCTTAGTTTTCTGTCCTTTGCTGTTGCTAACAGAATTTGTTTCAATGTACAAAAGGAACATGCATTTGTCATTCTTATTTCGAGAACCTGTAAATTTCAAAGTATGATATACAATAATTGGTATTTTCATTTTCCCTACAAAGATTCAAGTAGACTGTAAAAGAAAGGCATGGTGAGCTATAAATAAACTTTTATTTTAGAGGAAAAGTTTCACCTATATAAGAATCAAGTTCTTTAAATTAATGGAAATTCAGAAGTATCTTAAAAAGGGAAAAGATGAATGCTGACAAACTATTGAGGGACAATTGAATTAAGGAAAGTTATACCACACCTTCCTCAGCATTTGAGACTTTGACAACTCCAGTGATAGTCACTGTGTCTCCTGGGACACAGCTATCCACAAGATCGTGAACAAGCTCACATTCTATTGTTCGTGGAATCCGACCTGCTTCTCGCTGATCATCAGACATCGACTCCTGGATTCTAAAAAGTTAAACAATTTTCAGTCAGTACATAAACTGACTTTGGGTTATTTGGTCAACACAGTAACTATTCAGGGTCCACATGATGCTGAGATAGATAAAGGGCAGTTAGTTTAAAAAAAAAAGAAAAGGTTCAATGGTATATTTAAAACTACTTCAGCAATTTCCAATTAAAGATGGCAGAATGGGCACATGCATTTGCCTACCTTCCCTCTAAAGTGTCCACCAAAACAACAGTCACTAAAAGAGTGAAGAGAAGTTTTGGGGCATGCAGAGGTGCCATCATCAAATAAGAGATATTAATGAAATTTTATAAAACAGCAAATGGGAAAGTACTGATGGATAAAATAAAATGAATTCCAGAATACACACAGGAAAAATTTACAAGGGTACAAGAGAAGTGGGAGCCAATGTTCTCAGCCCTAGAGAGGCTTGTAAGTTGGAGGTGGCAGGAATGGCAAGTGGGAGCAGATGGCTGAAACAAAACAGAATAATCAACTGAAAGACAAGTTGCAGAAGAGCTGTTCAGAAATTATTTGGAAGGTGGGGGCATAGGTGGGTAGAAGAAGAAGGAGGGCATCCCAGGAAAGCCATCAGGCTTCCCCATCTGGCAAAAACCAGAGCACTGTTTTAAGGAAACAGAGCCATCTACTCTATGAGGGGAACTAAGGTGCCGAGAGAGGATATCAGAGCTCCAGCATAAGCCTCCTCATTCTGGCATTTGAGGAGCCCAAGCCAAATTCAAAAACACATTCATAAAGCAAAATCTGGTTGTCAAAACCCTACCCTCTATCCAGGGATGAGGCTTTTTGAAGAAAAGCTCCTACCTAAAAAATAGCAAAGGAAACTTATCCTACCTACTCCAAATAATTTCTCATTCCTCATCAGATATTTGAAGATGAAATGGCAATAATTAAAGAAGGAGAAAAGCATTAAAAACAAAGAAAAAACTACTTAAGAGTTTCTGAGAAAATGTTACCATCATAAAACAAGAATGAGCTGCTATGAAAAAGAAACTATTGGAAAACAAGTGTGAGATCAGAAAAATTAAAGATATGTATATAAAAATCAAACACTTATAGAAAGGATACAAGCAAAAGCCAAAGAAATCTAGAAAAGAGCATAAAGAAAACAAAGGGTGAAGGACAAACAATTGAATGGATACACCTGATAAGAAGCCCAAAGAGAGAAAATAGAAAATAGATATTCTAGAGTTGAAGACAACTCTAGAAGAAAAGGGCCAATCAGTATCAAGCAAGATGAAGACACAGTTAGATAGACTCAGACGTTTTCAGAACACCATGGATAAAAAGATTACGAAGAGTAGGAAAAGTGCTAAACGACAGTTATAGTCCAAATATGAAGCATATTAAAATATGGGCTAACTCAGTGGAGTATAAGAAAAGAATCCTTTTTGATTTTGATGCTTGGATCATTTTCCTTTAAGGGGCAAAAAACCCCAACAAAACAAAACAACCCAGTGACACAAATTACATTTCTTTCTCTTGGCATCTGATCACCTGACTTGATTCTCTGTTGAACAATATTTATGTTATCATAAAAATGTAAGTGCTGTTTGTTGGTTTCATTAGATATGACCTATGAATAAAACATGGAAGATAATTCTCATTAGAAAACAGAAGTAAACCTTGACAATTTAAAAGTAACATCATACTGAAAAAAGGTGGAAGAGGGAGAAGGGACAGCAGGTACCATGTCTCTAACATTCTCAGCTCACAGACTGGATAAGTAAAGTGAAGGAAGAGACATAAGAATGCTATCTAGAATTATGTATAAGGCAACAAGAAGTTGTGGGAACTGTGGCCTTCTATGCTGATTGAGTTTTTAAAAACATACACATTATTTTAAAACTTTTTAATTTAATCACTTAAATGATGAAAGTAAGCACAAACCCTGCTCCATGGTTACCCACTACTTTCACCCTCAATGCATATTTAAACACTGGCGAACTGCAATGAGAAGTGTCAGAGTGACACAACATGCTAAGGTCACCTTGCTTTAAAAAAGTATATTTTTTGGGACTTCCCTGGTGGCGCAGTGGTTAAGAATCCACCTGCCAATGCAGGGGACACGGGTTTGATCCCTGGTCTGGGAAGATCCCACGTGCCGTGGAGCAACTAAGCCTGTGCGCCACAACTACTGAGCCTGCTCTCTAGAGCCTGCAAGCCACAGCTACTGAAGCCCGCATGCCTAGAGCCTGTGCTCCACAACAAGACAAGCCACTGCAACAAGAAGCCGGCACACTGCAACAAAGAGTAGCCCCCACTCGCCAGAACTAGAGAAAGCCTGCATGCAGCAACAAAGACCCAAAGCAGCCCAAAAAAAAGAAAGAAAAACAGTATATTTTTACACTTTTCTTATTAAAAGAACACATATTTCTATGTGTCACCTTTGTAAAAATTTAAAAACACAGATAAACAGAAAGAAAAAAATAACAATTACTTTCATCTGACCTCCCAGACAGTATACTCTTAACATGTTTTTGTATTTACCAGTGTTTTTTTTTTTTAATAAAGTCAGTATTGTACAGTAGAGAACATTCTGTGACCTGCTTTATCACTAAATTCATTGTAAACATTTTTGGATGTCATTTCAAAACACTCTCCTACATCATCATAATTAGTGGCTACACAATAGTTCATAGTATCATCCTTTTTATAATATTTTCTTCAGATGTTTAGGTTATTCTCCATTTTTGGTTATCAACACTGTGAAAACATACTTTCAGCAAGCTATTTCTGCACATATTGTGACTGTCTTCATCAGATGAACTTCTAGAACTGGGACTGCTGCAACTATAAGGCTTCGATTCTGATATACACAATAAAGCTGTCACCTTGACTCATCCAAACATTTCAATGCACTAGTTGAGAAACAATTACTTAATTCCTTATGGCCATCCAAGCTAAGGCTCAGAAAAAATTGAAACTGAGTTTACTATATATGGCAGGAAGGAGGCCTTTCTTCTAGGGCAAAAAATCATTTTATGTACCTACAGAGCAATAGAATAAGACAATTAATTATGTAAGCTAATATTGCATTAACAAAGTTTTACTATAACTAACTCATTTAAAATGAACCTGAGCAATACCTTACTTTTAAAAACTCAAGAAAAGGACTTAAATGTCCTCCTTTTCTCAATCATCTACCCCTAAGTTTGATTTCCTAATATTAGGAGATGATCATTCAAACCCAGTTAAAATATTTAAGCCTATTTTTAGTCTATTTTTACCTGAAAACAAAGAAATTTTGTTCAAATAATTAAATCACTCTGAATCTTCTATGCATATACTGTGAACCTTATAGCACCTTTGAGGCCCTCACCACCCCCTTCAGTGGTGAAAGTGCTATAGACATGGGCTGGAAACCAGGCTCCCCCACATGATCATACTCAAGAGTTTTAAACATTTCATCTTTTATAAAATGGAGTGTCTGTAAAGATCTCAGCATAGTGCACAGTTAATTATTGTATATATTGGTCTTAGTTTTTATAGGGCATTAGGAGGTCAAGCTAGGACAGGGCTTGGTAGAAATCTACTTCACTTTTCCCCTATGTTCTTAGTTTTTAAAGACCATTTGTTTCAGCCAAGTTTCCTGGATAGCACCCTGACTTCAAAACTACCCATTATTTTATATTTAGGGATGAGTTATGGGACTACAGCCAGAAAAAAATGGAATAAATTGTTAAAAATATACACACATAGAGAAAACTATCTGACTTTAAAAAAAAAGTTTTTTTTAATCACCTATAGAAAATGCCTCATGGATATTGTGAACATAAAATGAAATGTATCTATTTCTAAGGGATTCTCTATTTTAAAACTTCAAAACAATATTATTTCTAGGATATCACATTATGGAATGAAACATACAGCTTTGCTTATATATATATCCAATTCAGTGAGTAAAATAAATGAGATATAAAATGATTTCTCAATAGCAAAATGACATAATACTTGTACGTTAAATCCTTTCTGGAATCTGATAGAAAACAAATCTCAAATGAAGACAATTATCACTCCAACACATAACTCTGCAGCAAGTAAACCTTTTATTATATACTTTATCACAATCTACAGAGAAGCATCAAAGTATAATACAGGAATACTGTAGATTTACTTGGCAGTATGAGGGCTCTAAAACCTGCCTTTTATTTAATAGTCTGATTGCTTACTTGATTGACTGCCAGTCCATCGTAACTGTGAGAGGAGAGCTTCGGAGTGCAGTAAATGACTTCCCTCGACATGCAGGCACAGGACACTGCAACAAGATTAATTCGCACTTAAATTTTGATATACTACAATCATATCTCAGGAAAATTCAAGTTAAAATGCTTCATTTAGTATTGGTTTAAAAGTTGGTCCCAGAATGGTATTAAAGTAAGATGAACTAAAAGCTGCAATGACTTTCTATTTTCTTCTGTATTGATTTTGTTTTTGAGGCACTTTTTCAGCTGGTCCCTCTTGATGACTGCTCTTATTCTTTCTGCTGTGGGTATGCAAGTCTCTTTACATACCTGTCACACCAAGCACTTATTCCTTCCTTTGTGCCCAAGTAGTCTCCCAATCCTTGAACATCTCCTTGTATCCAGTCCCACATACCCAGCTCCAATCCTCCCCTTTTCAAAAGCCTTTCCTGGGTCTTCTTTAATCCCCAATTCTCCTATCTAACCTCCTTTTGCACTGCTTGTATAGTATAATGTTTATTTTACCACACAGGCAGTCCTCAACATGTAAGTCAGTTGTGTTCAAGTTTTCGTAAGTCATGTTTGCTGTTTGTACCTCAAGATGCATTTATAAGTAGAGAGACTGTGGCAGACTGTGTTTTCCAAATACGGTTGTAATTGTATCACCCTTCAAACCTTTCTAGAACCCTGCCACTCCCCTATAAAGAGCTGGAGTCTAATTTCCCCCTCCTGGGATGTGGACAGGCTTGTGACTCACTTTGTAACCAACCGAATGTGACAGAAGTAATGCTGCCTGACCTCTGAGGCTGCCTCAAAAGAGGCAAAGCCATTTCTGCCAGTCAGCTGGACCTCTGTCTCTTGAAGCTATTGGCAGTCATGTGAGCAGAATGAGTGTCCTGAGCTGCCATACTGTGGGCAAGAAGCCAAAACCAGACCACACAGAAAGACAACGTGGAAGAGAGATACTGGCCAGTGCCCAGTGAGTCCAGTCACTTGCTATTCCAGCTCCCTAAGAGATCAAGAGCCAGAAGTACCCAGCCAACCAGTTCTTCCAAACTCCTGACCCACAGACACCATGTGAAATAATAAAATGATTGTTGTTATTTTGAGCCACTATGCTGTAGGGTGATTAGTTATGCAGCAATAGTGACTGGAACAGAGATCAGCTGGAACAACTGTCTTTCTGATCACTTTGATTCACTGAAGTTCAGACATGAGTAATGAAGTCAGCGTTACTACCTACTGTATTAGAGGGCATGGAAATACCCTGACAAAATAATGTTTACAGAAAATATCCAATTTAAATCAGGATTTAAATTCTGGCCTCTCCAGGGAATTCCCTGGAGGCCCAGTTGTTAAGACTGTGCTTTCACTGCTGAGGTCACAGGTTCAATCCCTGGTCAGAGAACTAAGATTCCACAAAATGAGCCAAAGGGGAAAAAAAAAAAAAAAATCTGGCCTCTCTGACCTAAAGGCAGTCCTGAATCTTAAGCCCAAATAGTAGGTGACAGCCATTTACCAACACCATTGATTATTCAGAACCAATAGCTGAATCTAACATACTCTGTTCTTCCTACAAGAGAAGGAAGCCTTAGGAATTTCAATGTGAGTAAAAATGTACTAAATGTTAAACTTATTAAAGTCTAAGGATGATAAAGGCAACTCTGGAAAAGAAGAATCGGTATGGCAAGTGTTCCTACCTTATCAAAAGTTTTAATAAGGTCAATGTAAATAGGATTGTGTAGACCTGGTACAGGACCAGTGAAATAAAACAGACTCACATGTCTACAGGAGCACAGTGTACTACAGATGATGTATTACACATCAATAGAAACAGAGGGCTTAATTAATAAATGGCGACAACTGGCTTTCCACCTAAAAGAATAATATTAGATCCTTAGCTTTATGCCATTCACAAAATTAAATTTCAGATGGACGAAAGATCTAAATAGAAAAAACAAGACTTAAAAGTACTGAAAGAAAATGTAAGAGAGATGTTTATAAATAGTGAGTGAGGGAGGCCTTCTTAAGCCATGGAGAAAATGTAAAAGTCATAGGAAAAAGACTGATCAATTTAACCATGTCAAAATGTATTGATAAAACTCTAAAGCAAAAAATGTACCACAAAGTTAAGAGATAAACTAAAGACTGGGAGAAAATATCTATAATGTAAGAAATCAATGCTCAGTATCTAGAATTCATAAAGAACTCCTATCAATAGTATAAACAGAAAAATGAACAGAAAATTCAATAAAGAAACTGAATGGCCAATAAAGATGTGAAAAGATGCTCAAACATAACAGAAATCACAGAAATTCATATTAAAAATGAAATACCATTTTACACCCATCAGTCTGGCAAAAATTTAAAAACCTAACAATACCAAGTGTTAATGAAAATATGGGGAAATGGTAATCACTTAACACCACCAGCAGGGGTGTAAGTTGGGACCAACATTCTGGAAAGTACTTTGGCAACATCTAAAAATGTTAAAAATAAGCATAGCATATAACTGAGAAATTCCTCTGCTAAGGAGACATGTACAAGAATGTTCTCTGCAGCATTATTTGAAATTGTGAAAAACTGGAAACAGCACAATGTCTGCCAAGACTATGGATAAACAGTGGCTATTCATTTACTCCACACAATAAATGAAAGAATTAGATATGTATTAAGATAGGTAGAACTCCAAAATAACCAAATGAAAAAAATGCTGTAATTTGTTACATTCAGTATATCATTTATGTAAACATAAACAAAACAAATCCTACATATATAGTCAAGTATGAAAATGCAGACTTGAGGAATACATGCTGATTTCAGAATAGTGGCTCTAGGGGTGGAACAAAGTTAATGGAACTGAGGAGGGAAACAAAGAGACTTTACCTTTATAACACTTAATATTTTTTGTAAAAAAATTAGCTAAATATTTGCCAACCCATAATGGTAGTACACAGATATTAGTTACATTATTCTCTACACTTTTCTATAGTTTTAAAATTTATAGTTTTAAAACAAAGTTAAAAAAGGAATGCATCACTTTCCAACAGCAGAATAAAGGAAAGAAAACAATATGTGTACCTATTAAGCCAGAATATAAAAATATGAACGGAAAGAATACAAATTAACTTCAGGATAATGACTGTCTCTGGGAATGGTACAAGCAAGGGGTAAAAAAGAGACAAAAGCTGTACCAGTAATGCTTTACCTCTTTCAAGATACAGCTGGAGCTGGCAAAATGTAAATTTTGAGTGGTGAATAGAGATGTTTTGTTTATTTTTTGTACCCTGAAGTATTTTATAATTTAAAAACTGAAAATAAACAATAAAAATAAGCTCTGTATTTAGAAACACTGGGAAATGTTTTCTGTAAATTGATTTGCCTTCTTTACCAAGATAAAGAAGGAAGTAGTTAAAGAACATGGTACAACCTTTGTGGGAAGATTATATTTTCCATCTGGAAGAGAAAAACTCTGAATTTCTCCACACGCAGCACAAAGAAAAGCCATCTTGGTACAGAGAGGCTTTATATTACTGACGCGAACCACTGTCCCTCTCAGAGCAATGTATTTTCCATAGTAATTTGCTCGGACATTCTTGAGCTGTGTTAAGGGCTCATAGTTGTATACCCTAAAAACAAAAACAGGAACATATTTATCTATACATTTAAAATGAGCAGAAAGCTGAGGTTGTCTGCATTTTCACAAGTCCCTTTAAGAAACTATGGAATTCTCAAACCATATCATCCCCATATATATCAGGAATTTTACAAGTATTAAATCAGTCTTAAAAATAAAAAAAGTTAAATCTTCACTTTTCCTCTTGTCTCATTGGCTGTTCTCTAGGGAAAAAGGAAAAAAATAATGCCAAAAGGAAAGTCTCAAATTCAGCAACTTCTGAGTCTCCAAATTCTTTTTCAAGAAATGTTAGGAAATGTCTTTTTTAAATTCTAAGGAAAAAAAAACAAAGAAACAACCTTGATGATTACCTTATTCATCTCTTCTAATGAGAATTTAAAATCTTATAATACAATAAAAAGTTGAATTCAAGAAAAAATTCCATTTGTTCTCTGTGTTTAATAGAAATCTAATAATTTTAACAAAATTTAATCACACCACTTAGTGTATCACATGGATTATTAAATGTAAATAGCAGGGTCTTGATAAGCATACATCCAAAATCAATGCTTACAAAAATTTGCAGGTTCACAAATCAACTTATTTAGGCAGAAAAAGCTTATTTCTATCAAGATCTCTTCAAATTCAGCAGGTTCACTTGGATGTGATGACCAATGAGTTAGCAAGAAACTCATATACTTTTTACTGATTTCTTTGGCTTTATAAAATAAGGTTCTCACTCTTAAATAGTCTTTAATGCCTGTTTCTGAATAACACTTCAATACCAGAAAATTCCTCACCTTGTATGAATGTGTGGCACATTTACCATTGTCTCCCCATTTCTAGACAATCCTTCTTGGGCTTGTAACTCAGCTGCATGCCTTTCAAGATCCTTAGTTAACACCTAGACAAGACAGACATTTACTCAAAAGTTTGAAAACAAGATACCCTCTTGAAGCAGAACTCTTTTATAGAGAATATGAAGTTAAGAATATAAACAGTTCAGAAGAGCATATTAACAGAACTCTAACTGCCCTTTAAAATTCTGATATTTAGGGCTTCCCTGGTGGTGCAGTGGTTGAGAGTTCGCCTGCCAATGCAGGGGGCGCGGGTTCGTGCCCCAGTCCGGGAAGATCCTACATACCGCAGAGCGGCTGGGCCCGTGAGCCATGGCCGCTGAGCCTGTGCGTCCGGAGCCTGTGCTCCACAACGGGAGAGGCCACAACAGTGAGAGGCCCGCGTACCGTAAAAAAAAAAAAAAAATTCTGATATTTTATTATGATTACTTATTTTATAGTGGGTTATGTTTTACCTGGGGTTCTGCTGTCCTTGGGCTGGAAAACTCCAGCATCCCTGTCTGCTAATTTCTGCTTCAACTAAACCTAGTATTAAAAGTCCTTACAGTAGCCCCTTAAAGATATTCTGGATGGATTCTGGAAAAAAAATATTTTCTACTTCTCCAAATTCAGTGATTAAGATAAAGAAAATAAAGATTACTTTTGAAATAACCAATATTTACTTCCTTGGCATTTGACATTAAGTAAAATAAATATTTAACATCTACCTGTGTACAAAGCAGTATGCTGCCAGTCTGAAAAAATGAGATGCAAATATGCAGCTATAATTGCTACCATAAAGATTTACAGACAAAAAAACCATGTGAGTTTTGAAAAGGGGTCATGAGAAAGGTTTCAGAGTGACAACTGAGTTAGGCCCAAGACATTTGGACATGTGAGGCAAGGGGCATTCTATGCCAAATGGACAGCACGTGTAAGAATCCTAGAGGGAGCTTAGTTTAGCTGGATGGCAGTGAAAGAAGGAGAGCAGGGAGAGGAAGTTGAACCAGGTTATGGAAGGCTTTCAATGCCACACAAAGGGTTTGGATATCATTTGGCAGAAAAGAGTCACCACAGTTTCCAAGGACAAATCGTGTTTTACCACGTATGGCAACAGTTAAGGAAAGATAATGAAGTCTTATGACAGAGGCTGTAAGGATGGAAAAGAGGTGGATTTAAGAGATATTTTAGAAATACAAGTGAAAGGATGTGGTAATTTAGACATGAAGAACTAATGAGAGGGACTTCCCTGGTGGCACAGTGGTTAAAAATCTACCTGCCAACGCAGGGGACGCAGGTTCAAGCCCTGGTCTGGGAAGATCCCACACGCCGCGGAGCAACTAAGCCTGTGCGCCACAACTACTGAACCTGCGCTCTAGAGCCTGTGAGCCACAAGTACTGAGCCCGTGCACCACAACTACTGAAGCCCTTGCGCCTAGAGCCTGTGCTCCGCAACAAGAGAAGCTACCGCAGTGAGAAGTTCACGCACCGCAACGAAGAGTAGCCCCTGCTCACCGCAACTAGAGGAAGCCCGTGCACAGAACAGAAGACCCAACACAGCCAAAACTAAATAAATTAATTAATTAATTAAAAAAAAGAACTAATGAGCAAGAGGAGTCTGAAGACAACAGCCAAGGTTCCCAGCCTTGGGTCACTAGCAGTGTATACATCTTTGCAACGAATCTTTTTAATGAACCCTCACCTGGATACCCTGACCTCCTCTGCTCTATGTCCAGTCCTCAGTACCACTTTAAGACCCACTCTAAACCCCACCACGCCTATGAAGTCTTCCTCTGACAGGATAGCAACCTTTCATTTCTAGCAAAGGTCTGTTGGTAAAAACTAAGAATCTTTTAGAGAAGGTACTGTGACTGTGAAATCTTCCTTTAAAATTTTGACAAAAGTCTCACAAAATCAACACTTACCTGATGTATTGCCAGACCCATGCAAGCCAGGGTTTTGTCAGGTGTATCCCTTAATTCATTTGCTATATTTGGTATCAATTTAGCTATTTCGTCATCTTTTGTCAGTTCTTTAAAATCCACCAAAATACTTCCCTTTCTTTCTATTTCATCCTACAAAATATTACGGTATGAAAATAATGATCGCTTTTTTACCATATATGAGCATTCAATCACATACTTTGAGAAAGCATATAATGTTAATATAGTGATAATATCAGCTTATGCAGCTCAATATTAAAAAAAGAAACCTAATCAAAAAATGGGCATAAGACCTAAATAGACATTTCTCCAAAGAAGACATACAGATGGCCAAGAAGCACGTGAAAAGCTGCTCAACATCACTAATTATTAGAGAAATGCAAATCAAAACTACAGTGAGGTATCACCTCACACTGGTTAGAATGGGCATCATCAGAAAATCCACAAACAACAAATGCTGGAGAGGCTGGGGAGAAAAGGGAACCCTCTTGCACTGTTGGTGGGAATGTAAATTGATACAGCCACTATGGAGAACAGTACGGAGGTTGCTTAAAAACTAAAAATAAAATTACCAGGGCTTCCCTGGTGGCACAGTGGTTGAGAGTCCGCCTGCCGATGCAGGGGACACGGGTTTGTGTCCCAGTCTGGGAAGATCCCACATGCCGCGGAGCAGCTAGGCCCGTGAGCCGTGGCCACTGAGCCTGCGTGTCCAGAGCCTGTGCTCCGCAATGGGAGAGGCCACAGCAGTGAGAGGCCCGCGTACCGCAAAAAAAAAAAATAAATAAAATAGAATTACCATATGACCCAGCAATCCCACTACTGGGCATATACCCAGAGAAAACCATAATTCAAATAGACACATGCACCCCAATGTTCACTGCAGCACTATTTACAATAGCCAGGTCATGGAAGTAACCTAAATGCCTGTTGACAGATGAATGGATAAAGAAGATGTGGTACATATATACAATGGAATATTACTCAGCCATAAAAAGGAATGAAACTGGGTCATTTGTAGAGACATGGATGAATTTAGAGACTGTCATACAGAGTGAAGTACGTCAGAAAGAGAAAAACAAATATCGTATATTAACGCATACATTTGAAACCCAGAAAAATGGTACAGATGAACCAGTTTGCAGGGCAGAAATAGAGACACAGATGTAGAGAACAAACATATGGACACCAAGCAGGGAAGGTGGTGGGGGTGGGGGTGGGGGTGGGGGTGGTGGTGGGATGAATTGGGAGATTGGGATTGACATGTATACACTAATATGCATAAAATAGATAACTAATAAGAACCTGCTATATAAAAAATAAATTAAATTAAATTAAAAATATATATGGTGATAATAAGTACTATAAGTTTTGTGCCAAGCACAGTTCTAATATTTAAAATGTATTAACTTATTTATGTCTCTTAACAACCCTTTGTGGTAGGTATTAATAATACTCTCATACTCTAATGATAGACGAGAAAACACACAAAAGAAAGCAATTCACCGAAGTCCATATTGCTGGTAAGTGGGAAGCTAGCAGCTGGACCAAGGCAGTCCAGTGTCTATAATCACAATCACTAGCACCTCAAATACATTGTTCAATAAGATGACACATAAAGGTGACTAGTAGCTTTGTTATGCAAGAACCTTACCTTATCGTATAAATCGATACGCCTTGCAAAAAAATTTTCAAATGCTTGAATCTTCTCAATAAAAGGAGAGCTGTCGCTGTAAACTAATCCAACAAATATGGCATCAGCACTAATAAAAATTACACATGTACAATCATATTTTTCATGAGACAGAAGAAATACTATATACATGGTAGATGACTTCTAATTGCTGTACATTCTGATTACATTTAGATAAGAACTGGTATAGAATGTAAACATAAGATTCTAAAACAGTTTAGGTCTGCATAATCTGAAAGGCAGATAGGAAGTGTCTCTCTCTAAAAGCACCAATATCTGAAAATCTTTACATTGAGCTGTGACACCTAGTAAGATCTACTAGTTCAAACAGCTTACATAATAAAGCGAAAACTTAAGCCGCATAGCACAGGGAGATCAGCTCCATGCTCTGTGACCACCTAGAGGGGTGGGATAGGGAGGGTGGGAGGGAGACGCAAGAGGGAGGGGATATGGTGATATATGTATACGTATAGCTGATTCAGTTTGTTATACAGCAGAAACTAACACAACGTTGTAAAGCAACTATACTCCAACAAAGACGTTAAAAAATAAATAAATATGTTGAGGTTTAAAAAAATTTTTTTAAAGCCAAAGCTTAGCACACTAACTAAACTCTTATTTCTTTGCAAAGAAAATCCTACTAGCCCAAATAGCCATTTGTCAAATCCCTTCCTGAGATCAGGAGAGGCAGACTACCACTCGGCTCTGGTCCCAAAACTGTAAAGTTATCTTCCACATTGTAAAGTTCTATAACATTTTTGAATTGGTCTCCCACAGAGAAACAGTACAATGAAGCAGTTCGGAAGTACAACTGGCCAAAGGCAACTAGTGAACTCCATTTTTAGGACCAGTCCAAAGATCACTTCTAGTATTCTCTAGTATTCTGAGCTAACTGCTAGGGAAATACTGTGGGTGTTGGTGGCTAATGTATCCTAAAGCAACAAAAGATACATCAACTATGAAACATAACATTTCTATATACCAGAGAAAAACAGACTCTCAACACAGCAAACATTTGTAAAGCACTTCATTCATTCACAAAATGAATACTGAGTGCCCGGTATGGGGCAAGATCCTTGCCCTTAAGCAGTACAGTCCAGTGGGTAAAAAAAACACAGATATACATAAACACAAAACCCATATCTCATAACAAGCATATGATACTATCAGAGCACAGGAAAGATGATTCTCCAAACCCATACAGACAGATGTATGATGTTAACTGATGTTCTGGATTACAAAAAGGAGATTCCTTAACTATGTTTCTACACAAACTGTGTTGGCTGTTGTCTCTTGATTCCAAGCCTATTCTTCTATTTTCAGCTTTGTGATTCTTTGATCAAGATCTGCACATGGAACTTCCCAGACTCCTGTAAGATTCTGACAATTAGAGCCAACTTTAGAGACTGGCAGGTGGCAGGAAGGAAGGAATTTATTCTTGTTTCCAATTCTTTTCAGCATCTCTCCAGCTACAGAGGATAGCTAAGTTCTGGCCTACAGCTCTAAGCACCAACCATGCCACTCTCCTGCCAGAATTACCAGCAGCAACCTGCTTAATTCGCCTCAGTGGTCTGAGCACAGCTCTGAAAGATATCCTTCAGAGGTCCAAGCACAGCTTTGTGGGGTGCCCCTCAAAGGTCAAAGCCACAGCTATGCTGTGGCTCCTCCTTTCAATTCTTAGGTTCTGATAACCTCAGCACTACTTATCTTTTGTTCCCTTAGGCAAAAGGGTGGTTGTTGCTTTCCAAAGTTAACACTATCTGGGAGTTTACCTCAGTGTTCCCTTTTTGCTCTTTCAGTCTTCTATCTGTATACCCAATTCCCTGTATTAACTCCTCTTTCTGAAATACCTAGTGTGGTTTGTTTCTCTGACTTATAGGAAAATAAAAAATTATGCTCTTGAAACATAAACATAATTCAATTGTTTCAGTGAACTAAGATTAAAGAAGAGGGGAGATATATATATATATATATAAGCCAAATGAGCAGTAATATGAGATGTAGCATCCAAAAAATGTTAAAGAAAATAAGACTTATGGTACTTTTTGCACTTTTAACTCTACCTTCTGACAAATAAAGCTTCCAGCCTTTATATGGTATGAATTGATCCAACGTTGATTGTAGTAGCAAAGACTGTGGGGTTTGTTCTGAAAAAACAAAAAAACAAAACCACAAAAACAGAATACTAGGTTAATAGAAGCAGAACATTTTTTTTTTCCTATTTGCTTCTCCTTATAACAATGAGACCCTGACATGTTATTAACAGAATATCTAAGTTACAGATTTCAGTAAGAATTTTGGATATTAACATCCAAATATTACCTTAAGGGTAATGTCAAATAAAAGACAGACAAATTTGAGTTAAACTGCTCTTCATGACAGGCACGAACAGATTCCTTCACGAAGGAAAAAAATATTGCACTACCGTTGGCCTCCCCTACCAGGATGTTTTCCTGTGGCTTTATTCAGGTCAGGTCTGTGCTTTAGTTCTCTCCATTTTCCTAAGAAGCTCCCACCACCTCTTCCTCTTTTCCAGCTTTGAAATCTTCCCCGTCCAAATCCTCTGCCTCTGTACTCTCCATTCATGTCTTTTAAAAGATAGAGATTAGGAAGTCCTCATCAAAACTGTAGGAGAAACAGTGCTCCTAAAAATGTATTAACATAGAAAATAAGAAAAATTAATATATATTCTAGTTTGAGACCAGCAATGTTGCACAGCATGGTACAAACCCCAAACACTCTGCAGTAATTCTTCTAATCCTCATCTCCTTTTAAGGCCTACCACAGATGTTTAACCAAGTATACTGAGTGCTTATGCCTTTTCTTATTTTTGTCATGGGATTTGTCATGGGATAAAAATAAGAAAAGGTATAAGAAAAGGTACCATACCTGTTTCCATGGAACTCTCACAATAGAAATGAAAATAAAACAGGTAATTAACTCTAAGATACCTCTGTAGTGTGGTGAGACTTATTACAGGGCAGCACTGTCTGAACATTATCCTGACCTGTGACATTAGGAATATATCATCATAGCTCCTTATATATAGACAATCCAGCTGTGCCATATCCACTTTTATCAGGGATACATGGATATCCTTTTTTTTAAATTAATTTATTTTTTTTATTTTGGCCACACTGCATGGCTTGTGGGATTTCAGTTTCCCGACGCAGGCCACGGCAGTGAAAGGACCAAATCCTAACAACTAGACCACCAGGGAACTCCCTGGATATTCCTACATAGGTATCTAAGACAGATCTTTCTGGGGAAGCACAGGAGTGGGATGGGTACATACATGTTTCAACCTTTCTTGTCCTGTAGGGGCCAAAATGGAAAAGAAGTTAATTTTCCAGATTTAGAATGACTGTGTTAAAACGACAATGAAAGCAAGATCATTTCTAGGCCAATACTGATAGATGGGTTATTTGCAATTTTTAGATAAATTTGTTAAAATGCAATAAAGTTTTTCTGAAAGCATATCCATATTTGTTAATATCATTTTTGGGGCTCATTATCCCTTCCTGCTTTTTTCTACTTTGTACATGGTGAGATACTCATTTAAAAAAAAATTATTTTATTTTTTGCCACACCGTGCAGCTTGCAGGATCTTAGTTCCCTGATCAGGGATCGAACCCGGGCCCACAGCAGTGAAAACGCTGAGTCCTAACCACTGGACCACCAGGGAATTCCCAAGACTCATTTTTATTAAACTCAAATCCATAAAAATAGTTCCTGGTTGAAAAGCAATAAATCAATATATGTGATCTTTTAAAATGGGTTTTAAGGGGCTTCCCTGGTAGCGCAGTGGTTGAGAGTCCACCTGCCAATGCAGGGGACACGAGTTCAAGCCCTGGTCCAGGAAGATCCCACCTGCTGCGGAGCAACTAAGCCTGTGTGCCACAACTACTGAGCCTGCGCTCTGGAGCCCGTAAGCCACAACTACTGAGCCCATGCACCACAAGTAGTGAAGCCCACGCACCTAGAGCCTGTGCTCTACAAGAGAAGCCACCGCAATGAGAAGCCTGCACACCACAACGGTCGCTGCAACTAGAGAATGCCTGCACACTGCAACGAAGACCCAACACAGCCTAAAAAAGTTTTTAAATGGATTTTAAAATAATTCATATAAGTAGAGCACAGGGCAGTGAAACCATACTGTATGATATTGAAATCATGCATCTGTCAAATCCCATGAAATTATACAACAAAAAGAGTGAATCCTAATGTAACTATGGATTTTAATAACAATGTATCAATTTGGGTCCATCAATTGCAACAAATGTATCACACTAATGCAATATGCTAATAATGGGGGAAATGGGGGTGGGGGAAGGGAAGAGGACCTATATGGGAACTCTGTACTTTCTGTGCAATTTTTACAACAATAGTTGTAAACCTACAACTATTCTAAAAAATAAAGTCTGCTGAAGAAAATAGTTTACTCGTACAACTCAATATCCAAAAACTGAACAGAGGACTTGAACAGGCATTTTTCCAAAGAAGACTTAGAGATGGCCAAGAGGCACATGAAAAGATGCTCAACATCGTTAATCATCAGAGAAATGCAAATCAAAACCACACTGAGATATCACCTCACACCTGTCATAATGGCTATCGTCAAACACAACAAATAATAAATGTAGGGGAGGATGTGGAGAAAAGGGAACCCTAGTACACTGTTGGTGGGAATGTAAATTGGTGTAGCCAGTATGGAAAACAGTGTGGAGCTTCCTCAAGAAATTAAAAATAGGGACTCCCCTGGTGGCCCAGTGGTAAAGAATCTGCCTTCCAAGGCAGGGGACGCGGGTTCGATCCCTGGTCAGGGAACTAAGATTCCACATGGCGCAGGGCAACTAAACCCCCACGCCACAACTACGGAGCTCACACACCTCAACTAGAGAGCCTGCATGCCACGAACTACACAGCCCACACGCTCTGGAACCCGCGCGCCACCAACTGAAAAGAAGAGAAAACACGCACGCCACAACTAGAGAGAAGCCTGCGCACCACAACGAAGAGCCGTCGCACCGCAACTAAGACCCAACACAGCCCCCCCCCAAAAAAATTTAAATGAAGTATAACCTATAAAAATTGAATCACTATGTTGTACATCTGTAACTAACATAACATTATAAATCAACTATACCTCAATAAAAGAAAATAGTTCATATCCTAAGAATAAAAATAAATAAGAACATATCCATAGACTGTAGTGCAATTCATTACAAGACAGCGTATCCGCATCTTTATTTAAAGCGATTTAAATTAGTAAATAAGTTAATAACAAGTTCATGTTATGGGCACTAACAGCGCTTTGGTAATCATCTAGACCACACCATACGTTAAGAAACTGAAGACCAGAGAAATTAAGTGAACTGATCAAGATCAAATTTGTCTGTTGACAGTACTGAGCTCAAACTTCATCTCCACATTCCCAACCTGAAGTGCTCCTTCGACAATGCTACGTGCCGTATCTTTTTCAAACGAGGTAATATGGTGAGAACAACTAGTAAAAATTCCAACATAAATGCAAGAGGTAGGACTGGAGAATGGGTAAACGCCACCCGTCGGGCTTCTATGCTTGGTTAAATACCTCACTTCATTTACGTCTCCTCAAGACTAAGTTCTTACTTGCAAAAGATGGAGGTCCCAAAACTCTCTTAGTTCATGGCTGGGCTGGTTCTCCCTTCCTCTCGGGGGGAAGCACGACGGGGAGGAGAGGAGACTCCGCGGTCCGAGCTCCACAGGTGTCCCTGCCCAAGCCCCGCAGACTCTTCACCCTCAGCTCTCCTGACGTCCCCGCGCGGGATCGAAGCTCGTCTGTAGCAGCGGCTTGGGGACCTCAGCTTCTCCACGGAGGCCGCACAGCGGAGCCGGAAAATGTCTAGAGCACGGCGCCACAACAGCACGGCTAACCAAATCCCAGTTTTCCAAGTTCTTTTTTGGCGCTTCTGTGACGCAACTTCCGCCCGAAGCTGCGGCGAGACCGGAGGGGCGTGACGGAGGGCAGCCAATCAAAGAGATCGGCCTGACGGAAGCCCTGAGGCTCCCGGAAGCTGTCCTGAGGTTCTTATCGGAAAGCGGAAGCGGCGCGCAGCACGTGGGGGCGGTGCCGGTCAGAGGGCTTTGAGTCGTCTTGGTTTGTGGGAGGTGAGGCTGCCAGCGGCTACAGCCCAGGGCCGGGGGCAGAGCGCGGGGAACTGGAGAGACGCTGCGGAGCTCGGAGACCGGCTGAGCGTTATGGAGGGCTCTGAGGAGCAACCGGGCCCACGGCCACCGCATCCCGGGGACCACCGCATCCGCGACGGCGACTTCGTGGTGCTGAAACGGGAAGACGTGTTTAAAGCAGTGCAAGTCCAGCGGAGAAAGTAAGTCGGGTCGCTGGCCTTAGGGGTTCTCCGCCCCCATCTTCTAGACACCCTCTCCCTCCAGGGTACCATTATTGGATTCCCAATCCATTCTGGATTCCCAATCCTGTCCCTCGTTATCTCCTCTGGGATCTTCCCACAGAGGCCTTTGCCCCCAGGATCCCATCCTTGGCCCTCGAGATCTCCCTCACTCCTTCTGTCTTCCTACAGAACTCCCCTCCGTGATCTCATACTGGCCCTCCATCTTAAGCATCTCACTTTTTCCAGGGTCCTTTTCCCATTCTTGGCCCTCAGGTGCTCCGCCCCTCTCTCCAGGCCCCCACCCCACCCCCTGTCCTGTGGTTCTTTCCCCAGGTTTTGAGTTCTTCTCTGCTGTCTTCTCACAGAACCCACCCTTCACCCTCTAGTCTCATTCTTGCCTCCCAGAGCCCCCCTCATCACAACTTTATTTTGTATTCTTGAAACCAGTGCTCTTTTCTCTTCAGAATTTCTGATTAGAAATGTGTAAAGTGCTAATACTAATTATTTAAGCTTTTTAATTTAAGTATAGCAGTGCAGCGAAGTCCTTAGGGTTATACGTTCGATGAATGATTCCATGTGCAGATGAACCTTTGGTTTTTCTTTCTACTATTGTCCTTTTAAGTTGCTTGATCGTGAGATGTAGTTGTTTGAGTTTGCTTCTTACAAATGTGCTTTTTTAGATAAGAGCTTTTCATTCCCAAGGAGACAGACAGTAACATCTTTATTTCTAAAAAGTATTCTTTAGACATTTATTTTGAAACACTTTTCATCAGTTTTCTTGGCAGAAGCCATAGCATTAGTTTCCATTTTGTTTAGAAAATGACCCTTTGAGTTCAGCTACATCGCAGGCCAGAATCTCCCTTCACTCTTTCCTGGGGGCTGCACTCATCTGGTTAGGCAGAAGCAGTCCTGCCTCTGTGAGCAGACTCTGCACATCCCCCTCTTCCCCAAGGAAGGTGTGGCTCCATGTCCTTCTGACTGGGTCCCACTTTCCTGACTAGGGCAGTGACCTCTTGTCAGGCCAGTCAGTTTGAGTGACACGCCCTTCTTTGCATATCAGACCTGCTGCCAGGGGGTAAACCCAACCCAGCTCAGACACAGTGTTTTGCTAGCACTGGGCTACTCAAAGGATGAGGTGGGGGAGGGTACACATCTGGGCTGAGCTGAGTTTCATCTTCTCTGAGGGGATTCATGTCAGCATATATTTAGAGTGTCTGTTATGTGTTAATCACTGAGGACCCAGCAACGAGCAAGAATTGGCCCTGTCTGGATACTTAGGATCTTGGAGAAATTCACTCAGGTGGTTCAAGTAAGGAGACTTAATGAAGATGTGACACATACACATACAGAGATGTGACAAGGTTTAGAGAACCAGTAGAGACTGGTGATGCATCCAAGGGTCTAGAATTGTGGGAAGCCTTCAGCAAGGGAGCCTGTGTGATGTGGTGTGTGCATTCTGTCATGGTTGGCCTCTTGGGGCACAGAGAAAGAAAGAGAAGGTGTAGGATGGGGCATAAAGAAAATTAACCAGTGTACATCTTTCAGAATTCAGAGTTCTGTTGATACGCGCCATGTCCTGAAGCTAAGCAGGCTTCCTGAGATCCATTTGTTCTTTGCTGGATAGACCGTGTGGTGCAGTGGAAAGAACCAGGCTTTTAAGTCAGGCAGACTTGGATTTGAATCCCAATTCCTACTGTGTAACTGAATCTTGGGCAAGACACTTTTCCCTCAGTCTCAAGTTTGCTCACCTGGAAAGAGCTGTGTCCCAGGATTACTTAATTGAGAATTAAATCAAGAAGTATGAAACACCTGGCACATACTACCTAACCCCTGATGGACACTCAGTGGGTGTTAGTTTTTGTCTTTTGAAAGGAAAGTTTTTTGTTTTTGTGGGATTTCCCTTTTACATTGTTAAGAAGATAAAAATCTGGGTAATGGGAAAAGCTAAGATTGCCTGGGCCTCAGTAGAGCCTCATCAGTGTTAGGCACTGTTTACAAATGTGTAGATTGTCAATAATGTTATGTAAATATCATTTGCTTTTACTGGATGATTTTCAAAGAAAATGGCCAGTTAGGCCAGGGAATTTGTTAAATCCCTGTCATCTCAATGATTGTTCAGTTTTGAGATTTTCTTGTGTAAGTTACAAGAGGCGTCACAGTGTGTGTCTCAGTGGCATGGCAGTCTTGCTACTCAGGAAATCCAAAGTCTGCGAGCTTGGACATCCTGTCAGACAGTGCAAATTGGAGCCAGACCAATGCCTCAGAGGAGGAATGTCTTCTGTCCTTGTTTCTCATTCCAAATTCAGTGTTTTTGTGGCTTCTTTATTAATTTTGTGCAGTGTTTTGTGTTTCTGACCCCAACCCAATCCTCTCTAGTTCATTTGTCGGTTCATGGTCAGAGATAATGCTGCTAATCATCCTTTAGGGAGACTGATTATGAAATAACCTAGATTGAATAAATCTTTCCTATACTGAATACAAATGAGATTCAGCTAATTGATTGCATTTCTTCCCCAGAAAAGTAACTTTTGAAAAACAGTGGTTCTATCTGGATAACGTCATTGGCCATAGTTATGGAACCACATTTGAAGTGACCAGTGGAGGAAGTCTTCAGCCTAAGAAGAAGAAGGAAGAGCCTACTTCAGGTGCACTGTACTACTTAGGATGTATGAAATAGTTGCTCTTGAGCTGGCTACTCAGAAACCTGTCAACTCGAATTAATTCTAGAATGCTAGCCCAGGCTGTCCCCAAAGAAATCTAAACTCATAATCTAAGAACTGTAGCTTGGTGGAATGCATTAGGGTCTGCCTTTGGCTTTGAGATACCTGGGTTCTGACTCCTGCCCATCATTAACCAGCTCTTCGACCTTGGGCCAGGTATTTGATGCCATGAATCCTTGCAGCTTCATTGTAAGAGTGGGTGTGGAGCCCTGTTGGTGTCTAGAAGTTACCAGCTCTTGAGGTAGTTAGCATATAGGGTAAGGATAATAGGTCTGGCTTTGAATTCAACTGACTAGGTTTAAGTTCCAGCTTCATGACTTACTTTATAACCTTGACCTAGTTATTTGGTTTCTCTAAGTTTTATATTCTCATCAGTAAAATAGGGCCATAAACACATTTAATGCCCAAGCTGTAGTTGTCTTCTCCCAGAGAAGTTCTTAACAGTGCCTTGCCTGTTAGAGTAACGACCCCATAATTTTAGTATTATTGTTATTAAAATTAAATACTTAAATTTTTGTCAAAATAAATGTGCTTAAATATTAATAAAATGAAAATACTTAATTATTAAAATTAAATAAGTAAAACACTATTGAAGTTCTGGTTCAAACCAGTTTATTAAATACTTTTAAATCAACCTTCATGTTTTTATTAAGCACCAGATATGTTCTAGACATGATTAAGCAGTGCAATTTCAGCAGTTCCTTAGATAGACTATCCCATAAAATTTATTTAGCAGTGGGGAACACTAAAAATAAGCAAACAGCATAATTTCAGATGGTGATATGTGCTGTGCAGATGGTAGAGTAGGGAGGTGTACTGAAGGCTGATTGAAATGTGAAACTTGGCTGAGATGGTGAGCTCAGCCCTGAGTGATGGAAAGGATCCACCCACTTGGAGGTGTCACAGAGCATTCCAGACAGAGGGAGCAGCAAGTGCCAAAGCCCCGCATTGAGACCATGCTGCTGTGTGTCTAAGGAACAGAAAGAAGGGCAATGTGGCTGAGTACAGGGGTTGAGAAATGAGCCCTGGAAAGGTAGCCAGGGGCCAGGTCATATAACAACCGTGCGGGTCGTCTTTGAATTGCTACTGGAAGCCACTGTGGTTTTGTGCGTTGGAATAGATGAGCCAATTTGCATTTTAAAAAGAGAACTTTGGTGTCACGTAGATTGTAAGGGGACAAGAGTGGGAACAAGAATATGAGTGAGTGGCTTGGAGTAGTCGTGACAAGAAAGGATAGTGGATTGGGGTGGGGGCAGTGGAACTGGAAGGCCAGATTTAAGTGGCTGATGGGCTGGATGTGGATACGAACTTAGAATAGGAAAGATTTTTAAATAATTTCAGATCATACATGTCATAGAGCAACTTTCTTCCTTAGAGACCAAAGAAGCGGGCACTGATAATCGAAATATAATTGATGATGGGAAATCTCAGAAACTTACTCAAGATGACATAAAAGCTTTAAAGGACAAAGGCATTAAAGGCGAGGTAAAATTCAAAGGATTTTTTGTTTTGTTTTCATTTGATATTTAGGAAATTGCTTGCATTTTAAAGCAGACTTCTCCTAAGGTAAAATGTAAAAATACTGTACACTTCTGTTAAAAATAGCTTGAAGTGTATATGCAATTCAGTATATCAAAGATTTTGTTTCTTATAGGCAGGAATGTAAGTGAATAGCATTACTAATAGTGTTAGCAAAAGGGAATTTGATAACTTAGTTCATGTCAGAGCTTAAGTTTGTTCATTTTCAGTAATGTTTTCAGCCAGTGTCTTCAGGACTGACAGTTTTCTTTACTTCTTTTCTTCCTTTATTGTATATGTCTGTTCTTTTACTTTGATTTAAATGGAGTTTAAAGTACTTACATTTTAATACAAATTCTAGATAGAGTATAAAAATACAAAGTTCACCCATTTGGACTTCTGTGGAAAAGGGCCTGGAGAATCAGACATTTGGATACATTCTGGGGTAAGAAACCTTTGAAGTTATCTGTGCTGTGAAAATAAAGTTTCAGGAAATCTGCTTGCTCCTTTTCTTATAGGAAATAGTTCAGCAATTAATTGAAAATAGTACAACATTCCGAGACAAGACAGAATTTGCTCAAGATAAATATATAAAAAAGAAGAAAAAGAAGTAAGTAATTTTTGTTTTTAAAAGGATGAAAATATAAAATCTTTTTATAGATTTATAAAATATATTATTAAAAATAAAATATTTTTAAACTAGCTTTTTAAAATTGATGTTCTGCTTTTCCTTCCCCCAGATATGAAGCCATGATTACTGTTGTGAAGCCATCCACCCGCATTCTTTCAGTTATGTATTATGCAAGAGAACCTGGAAAAATTAAGTACGCTTTGTTTCCTTTCAAAAGTATAATTGGGGGAAAGTATATCTTTAAGAAAGTCATGATTTTAAGTAAAATGAAAATCTTGCTCATCTGCATAAAGTGTCCTCCTACTTCATAAATTGTAAGTCCTTTTTTACTATTGCCTCCAAAGCAATCGATAATCTTATCAACATCATTTTTATGAAACAAACAAAACTTGAAAAATTATGATTAAAATAGCAGACTTTGCTTAGCTATAAATGAATGAATCATTTTTTTTCCTTAGCCACATGAGATACGATACGCTAGCCCAGATGCTGACGTTGGGAAATATCCGTGCTGGCAATAAAATGATTGTGATGGAAACATGTGCAGGCTTGGTGCTGGGTGCAATGATGGAACGAATGGGAGGTAAGATTTAACGTTTTCAAGTTCATTAAAACCCTACCATGATTTGAGTCGAGGGGTCTAAAAAACTCAAAACTCATGGAAAGTGAGTTTGAGTTACTGGAAGCGAATGAAATGACTTGGGTGTGCCTGCACAGCTCCAGTCTCTGGGACCTTTCTCCATAGCCCACATCTCCCAGCCTGAGCTGTGCTGGCACTCCCGACACAGTGTCCTTTCCAGCTTCTGTGTCAGTGGGGATGGTTCTGAAGCCTGTGACTGGCTAGGACCTCCAGGACCATGATTTCAGTTAAACTCTTGGATAGTTGGTGCTCATTTTATTGGCCTGAATTGAGAGTATAGGGTGGGAAGAATACTAGGGATGTATTCTGTACTAGAAGAGTACAACACAGCCTGATTTGTCTGCCCTTTTTATGACCCTGTTGAAGATAAGAACTTCTAACTGTGCTGTTTAAAGATTGGACTTGGGGGATGCTGAGAACCAATCACCAATCATGTGACATACAAAATTTGTATGATCACAGGGTTTTACTGTAGTGTCAAGGGGGGTACACTTCTTTAAGACTTCCTGTGTACCTGTTTGGAATTCTGTTACCCCCATTAGGAATATGCATGGACTCCAGATGGACCCCAGAGGAGCTGCATCACCTTCAACCTCTGAACAGCGTAAAGCAGAGAGACCTTCAGTCTCCTTACTGTGTAGTACCCCGAGGGTTGCATAGTCTAGAGCCACCTCCGTTGAGCAGATATTTGTTTCTTTTGTCTGTTCAGGTTTTGGCTCCATTATTCAGCTGTACCCTGGAGGTGGACCTGTTCGGGCAGCAACAGCATGTTTTGGATTTCCAAAATCTTTCCTCAGTGGTCTTTATGAATTCCCCCTCAACCAAGTGGACAGTCTTTTAAATGGAACATTTTCTGCTGAGATGTTATCTTCAGAGCCAAAAGACAGTGCTTCGGTTGAAGAAAGTAATGGCACACTGGAGGAAAAACAGACTTCAGAACAAGAGAACGAAGACAGCATGCCAGAAGCCCCAGAGAGCAATCACCCAGAAGAACAAGAAACAATGGAAATTGTCTCTCAAGACCCAGACTATAAGGAGCCTAAAGAGAGAGGAAGCAAAAAGGATTATGTAAGAATGTTAAGAGTTCCCACTACCCTCAGTATCTTCCTCAGGCTTCATTTAACTTCATGTAAGCCCTGAGATTTGATTTGGCTTTGGAGCATCAGCTCCCAAGATAACAAATATCAAAACAGACAGATAAAAACTGTGTGTGAGTGTACACATGTGTGATTTAATCTTTGGGATGGAGCTTTAGGATGCAGAAGCATTGTATAGGTGGCTGCATGGTGGTTTTATAACCAAAGGGCTCTCTTATGTGTGTTTAGCTTCCTTATAAATGATCTTCTTCTGTTGCCTTAGTCCAAGTTGATAAATATTGTTAAAATGTTTTGACAGACCAGTGTTTCCATAAACCCGACTGAATGACCTCAGTATGTTGGTATCTTATTTTTCTTCTTGAAGATTCAGGAAAAGCAGAGGAGACAAGAAGAGCAGAAGAAAAGACATTTAGAGGCTGCTGCTCTGCTGAGTGAAAGAAACGCAGACGGGTGTGTTGCTGAAAGAACATGGGAGACATCTTGGTGCTCGTGGGCTCTGCTTCAAGCAGATTAGCATTCTCTGTCTGCTTGTCTATTTTGGTTGTAGTGAGGGCAAACATGATGATTCTGTCTTGGGTTTTTAAAGAAAGGAGGCTGCATCTGGCAGAGATGAGAAATTGATTATGCTGGTTTGAGAGTTTTAGAAGAAATTGAAATTTCTCCAATGATGTCACATCAAGTTGGGCTGTGTAGTCCCACTAGGTGCAGGTTGGAGGGCATTCCAGTTGATGTGTTACTGACTAAGGGCATGGGCTAAGGAAAACCTGACAGGAAAGGCAGATTCAGGTATCTGCAAAGCCAGTATTACAATGTTGGATTTTCTTCCAGATTTTTTTTTTTTTTTAAATCAAGACTGTCATTAGAGTTGCCAACTCTAAGTTGGCCGCATAGAGTTGCCAGTCACCATGAGAGTTTATAATCCAGTTTGTGTTTCCTAGAAAGTAATAGCTCATGATTTTATTGTTGGAATCTCTAGAATGTTGTATTTAAAGTGCTTCCTTGTGTGAGTCATGCAAATAAATACGTGATATTTTAAAACCTATGCTCTGCTTTGGAGACATAGAGAAATAATTTGTCTAACATTTTCCTTGCAGTTTAATTGTAGCTAGTCGTTTCCATCCCACTCCACTGCTGCTGTCTTTGCTGGACTTTGTGGCTCCTTCAAGGCCATTCGTGGTGTACTGTCAATATAAAGAGGTAATACTGAAACAGAGTGGACAGGAATTCTTGCATCTGAATGTTGATTCTCAAATTGCACCCTCAAAATAATTATTAACAGAACTCTGTTTATGCCTTTAGCCTCTGTTGGAATGCTACACAAAACTGCGGGAAAGAGGAGGGGTCATCAATCTCAGGCTGTCTGAAACCTGGCTCAGAAATTACCAGGTATGTGTTCTCACAGCCAGTCCCTGGGAGCTGCTCTCCTGGGTCGCTGGCTCTGCACAGTAGTACCAGAAGCTGTTAAATAGGGATCTCCCTGTTTCTATCTATAGATATGGTGGAGTCTCACGTCTATAACTCAGAGAAAGTGCCCTGACCTTTCCGGACCCTTTTTTCTTTTTTCACGTCATGGTCTATTACTCAGATACCCGAGTCCAGAGACATTTAAAATGCAAACGACTATGGTTCGTGTTTCCCCAAGGCCTTGAGATCACTGTAGAGGGAATAACTGATAATAGCAAAATCCCTAGGCTAACAAGAAAGTGACCCTTTCCTTTCTGCTGGCATGTCTTTGCAGCAAGTGTTCGAGAGTTCCTGGTGGGCTCTGTGTCAGTTCAGGTCCTCTGGAACGTATATGCGAAGATAGAATTAAAAGTGTAAGAGAAATGCCTGTGAAAGATAAGACAAGAGGGAGCAGGATTAGGCAGGGAGAGCTGTCAGACCATGATACAGGTCTGATGCCTGTGACAAGTGGGAGGAAGGAGGGGAGGAAGAGCATGCAGTGCTGCTCTGAGAAAGTCTCAGCCAGGATGACGAGGAACCGCAGAGCAAAAATTGCCCATTAAAGGAGGGTGAAAAACCAGGCCCAGAGCACTACACAAACCAGTTGCCCTTTCACCACCAGAAACTTGCTTCAGGTATAAGAGAAATGGTTTCAGTTTTATATTTCAAAAGAAAATCACTTAAACCAATTTCTACGCTTTTATCTGCACTGTCATGTGAAAGATGGACCTCCTTAGGACTTGGTCTGATTAAATTGGTCTCTCTTCAGGCGAATCTGTGTCGTTTAAATTCTCATTTCTGGCATGTGTATTGTTAACGTGGCTTTATCTGCTTAGGAAAACATGAATGTCTGTCTTTCTGTCTTGATTAGGTTTTGCCAGATCGAAGTCATCCCAAACTACTGATGAGTGGAGGTGGGGGGTACCTTCTCTCAGGCTTCACTGTTGCCATGGACAACCTTAAAGCAGACCCCAGTCTCAAATCTAGCACCAGCACTTTAGAATCACACAAGACTGAAGAGCCAGCAGCTAAAAAACGGAAGTGCCCAGAGTCTGACTCAACCTTTCAAAAATTGCTTTGATTTTTGTTCTCAGACATTATGCAGTTAGTAAACTTTAAATGCCATTACTAATTGTGTTTTCATATCCTAAGAATGAGAACATGTCTATACCCCTGTTCGTGGGAAGGACAAGTAAGCCTTTTGTCCACCTCTGACACAGATTGGTTCTGTCTGTCAAAACCTCGAGCCAGAATACCCAAGCCTGGGGTAAGCAGTAAACTGGTATATGGCCAGTTGTGTTTATTTCACAAAAATCCTCTAAGTACTTTTAGTGCTCTGCGCAAATATCTTTAGAATTTAGAGATCAAAGAAATATATTTATACAAAACTTTGTTTATATGTTAAGCCAAGTGGAATAACACACCATCAGTGAAACTTGGGTACTGAAACGAAGGAATTTGTGGAAGAAATTTCCTCTGTTCATTATGTTCTCTTCAACCTAAGCAATATGAATGTGTGTGAGACTTACAGTACCAAAAATGTCCACCCTTTTCCCTCCAGTGGAATAAACTTTTAATAATTTTATATTTTATTATCTTAATAGTTGATGACCTAGAAAAGATCTGAGTATTTATTTTACTGCTGTTTTTGTCAGTAGAAAGGTGTTGTAGGGTACTTTTTTGAATTAATTTGCCAATCCTCTCATTCTTTGTTCCAAATAAAGTGACTAGAATTTTTGTGTACTATTAAATGAAACAGAAATGGTTTTTTCCCTCCCCAGAGACTTACGGAGATAGATAGATACATGTATATGGATATTGGTATATGCGCATACATACATATATTTATATGTGCACACACATCCACATGGAGACAGAGAGAACACACTGTCCATATGAACTTTAACAAAGTTTAGTGCAGGGCTTAGACCAGTCCTCATTGCATTAGTGTCACTCCTTGTCAAATGTATTTTAAAGTGCCTTTTTTTGGTGATTATTAATGCTGGTTTGTTGAGCTCTGGCATGACTAGGTGGTTAGCCTTTCTAAGCTCTGAAAAAGTGTAATTAAATTATTTGGTCATCTGCAGCCAAGAAAAGTGTTTAGAGGAAGCCACAGCTCTTGCCCATTGAGAGTCTGAGTCTTGCTCACTAAACATGCTCATCGTGTGTATTGTTCATGTCGTTATAGAATAGATGCAATCATCCAGCAAGGGGCATCTCAGAAAAAAAGTTGCTTTTTCCTAATAGCATGTACTATTCTAAAAATGGCCAGTGTGGTTACCAACAACTACAGTTCTGATTCCTTTTTCTTAAAACAATTGCTTTTAAAGAATAAAAGCATTTCCTACTGTGATCCATCTGACTTACATGAATGATGCTGTCAGTGATGCCGCATTCATTGGCTTTCAGCTGATTGTGACACATGGTCTTTGTAAGAAAACATGCCTGGATTGGCATGTCACTGAACATGTGCTTGCAAACAGTTGTCACTCACATGCAACCAGTCAAGTTTGGTCGAAGAGAACACAATATATGCACAGACTAGATTCAGTAGTGACTGGTCTCCACTGGTCACTGTTGTTAGAACCATCTCCTACTTGAAACTCAACCAGTTTTCAAGTCCCATCTCATTCCATTCAGTGTGGGGGTCTGCACTGCCGAGGACCTGTGCGCCCATATAGCTGCCCCTGGAGTTGACTTGTGGACTTTTGCACCAAGTTAACTTAAAGTTAACCTTTACTTGTTAATGTTTTCTCATTCATGTAATTTACTTCATCTTTGAGTACTGATGATTTAATTCAGTGGTTTGAAAATTTAGTGTGCACCAGAATCCCCTGGGGGGCTTATTAAAACACTGATTGCTGGGCTCCACCGAGTTTCTAAGTATTAAGTCTGCAATGGGGTGGGAAATTTGCATTTCTAAGTTTCCAGGTGACACTAGTGCTGCTGGGCCGGAACCCACTCCTTGAGAAACACTTCTGTGTATACACACATATCAAGAGTGTCTTGTTTATAAAGTGGACATCCACCTTTGGAGCACATGAGTGGGTAATTCTATGACTACTAGACATCCAGTCACCAGGAGAGCTATGTGAAATAGCACTTTAATGAGTGGCCATCAAAAAGTAAAGACAAAATCATTATGTAATGTCCATCTTACTTCTCCATTGGATTAGGATACTTGGAAATATACAGTGGTGCCAGTTAGAAGATTTTTTAGCATAAAGGTACATTAAAATTGTATGACGTTTTATTGAGTTGTAATTGACATAATAACATTGTGTAAATTTAAGGTGTTCAGTGTTGATTTGATGCAGTTTTGTATTGCAGAATTAGCTAACACCTCCACCTGTGACATACCATTTGGGTTGGGGGCGAGAACATTAAAAATGTACTCTCTTAGCAACTTTCCAGTATATAATTATGGTTAATTATAATCACTATGCTCTACATTAAATCGCCAGAATGTATACATTCTTAAATCGCCAGAATGTATTCATCTTATAACTGAAAGTTTGTGCCTTGTGACCAGTATCTCCCCATTTCCCCCACCGCCCAGCCCCTGGCAGTCACCATTTTACTTTGTTTCTATGAGTTTGATTTTTTTAGATTCCACATATAAGTGACATCATACAGTATTTGGCTTATTTCACTTAGCATCATGCCCTCAGAGTCTATCCATGTTGTCACAAGTGTCAGGATTTCCCTCTTTCTTGTGGCTGAATAATATTCCATTGTATATATATACCACATCTTTATCCATTCATCTGTTGGTGGACACTTAGGTTGTTTCCATATCTTGTCTATTGTGAATAATGCTGCAATGAACGTGGGAGTGCAAATATCTCTTCAAGATACTGATTTCATTTTCTTTGGATATATATTCACATACAAAAAGTCTACGCTTTTACACTCCTCCTACATTTTGTATTTTTGATGTTTTGTCTTTTTCATGTTGTGTGTCCATTAATAAATTATTGTAGTTATATTTTAATACTTTTGTCTTTATAAGTGACTTACCCACCACTATTACAATATTAGCATATTCTGAATTTAACTCTATATTTTACCTTTGTAAGTGAATTTTATACTTTCATATGTTCTCATGTTACTAAATAGCTTATTAGTAGCTTTCATTTCAGCTTGAAAAACTCCCTTTAGCATTTCTTGTAGGGCTGATCTAGTGGTGATAAACTTCAGCTTTTGTTTGTTTGGAAAATTCTATCCTTCAATTCTGAAGGACAACTTTGCTGCATATAGTATTCTTGGTTGGCAGTTTTTTCTTTCAGCACTTTGAATATATCATCCCACTTGTTTCTGGCCTGTAAAGTTTCTGCTGAAAAATCTACTTGTAGTCTTATGGGGGTTCTCTTGTACGTAACAAGTTGCTTTTCTCTTGTTGCTTTTAACTCTCTCTCCTTGCCTTTAACTTTTGACAATTTAATCGTAATGTATGTCAGTATAGGTTCATCTAATTTGGTACTCTTTGAGTTTCCTTTATCTGGATGTCTGTTTTTTTTTTCCTCCAAGTTAGGGAACTTTTCAGCCATTATTTCTTTGAATAAGCTTTCTGCTCCTTTCTCTCTCTCTTCTCCTGGAACCTGTATAATGTGTATGTTGGTCCACTTGATGGTATCTCAGGTCTCCTAAGATATGTTCACTCTTTTTCATTCTTATTTTCTTTTTGTTGCTCTGACTGGATGAATTCCACTGGACTGTCTTTGAGTTCATTGCTCCTTTCTTCTGTTTGCCTCTGTTGAATTTTTCAGTTTAGTTATTGTATTATTCAATATTCAGTTATTCTGTTTGGTAGTTATATTTTCTGTCTGTTTTGAAGTTCTCACTTTATTTATGAATTGCTCTCCTTACCTTGGTGGGCATCTTTATGACCATTATTTTGAACTCTATCAGGTAAAATCACTTATCTCTTTCATGAAGATCTGTTTCTGGATATTTTGCGTGTTCTTTTGTTTAGAACATATTCCTCTGTTTATTTTCTTTCACTCTCAGTCTTGGTGCCTGCACATTAGATACAATAGCCACCTCTCACAGTCTTGACAGAATGATCTCATATAGGAGATAAACCTCATCAATTAGCCCAGTCTGAGCTCTTGGTTGTCTCTCAAGACTTTCTGATCTCCAAGCTACTTGAAGAGTAACTGATAAGCTGTTAAGTACACCTGACTTTGTTCTTAGTGGCTCCCAATAATTGAGGGTGTGCCATGACCCATCAATATCCCAAAGGGTAGAATTGCTGTCAGCACCTAGATGCAGGCTGATTAGAAGTGGATCCTCAGGCAGCAGCTGGGAAAGTATGTAGTTAAGCCCTTTCCAGGGAGAAACTGGGAGGTGAGCATTTTTTGCCTGCTCCCTCTACACTGAACCCAGATGTATAGCTGCAGGGGGTGCTCCTGCACCCATATAAAAACTTCTTTGCTAAAGTCCTGTGGGACTCGTGAATGCAGTTCTCATTGGCTATTAGATTTGGGGTTCTGTTCCTTGGGTGGCAGCTGGGATGCCAGACATGCATACAAGCTCCTTCCAGAGAGGTTGGCAATCAGATAATGTTGGGGCAAACCAGAGGTGGAAAGTAGGGAAAGTGCTCATAGACTCCGGTGGCCCTGGATCACAGCCAGTCCCTAAATGTGTGCTAAACTGAAGCCTAGCACTCAAGCAGCAGCTTATAAAGTGTGTAGTCACACCCTCAGGGAAAGGCTGGGAGATGGGTATTGTTCTCTGCTACTTCTGCACTGAGCCCTGGGGGGTGGCCACAGCAGCAAGTGTTTGGTTGCCATTAAGAACTGCTACTTTGTTTGCTCCAGTCCTGTGGGTCTCATGGACCTAAATGGCCTTGGCTTTCAGAGCTAGGTCTTTAGGAGGCCCGTTGGTTCCTTGAGTGGGACTCTTAAATGTTGGGGTGCTATGTTGCGGTCCAAACCCTGTGGCCCTCAGGGAGAGGCTGGGAGTTGGGGTTGGCATTTCCCTCTCAACTGTACAGTACTGTGGCAAGGATGAAGTTGAGAACATTCATTGTATCCGAATGAGGGATGAGGGAGTTCAGGACCCTTCTATGTTGCCATCTTGGTCCCCTCTCATATGAAGCAGATTTTTTTGTTTTTTGTTTTTTGTTTTTTTGGCCGCACTGCGTGGCTTGCGGTATCTTAATTCACCGACCAGGGATCAAACCCAGGCCCCCTGCAGTGGAAGCTAGGAGCCCTAACCACTGGACCACCAGGGAATTCCCTCATATGAACCAGATCTTAATGGGTAATCATTCATTTATTGGTTATATATGGAAAAGCCAAAAATATATTCTTTTTTAATATGTATAAACTTTTGAAGAAAAAGGGCGTGTACATTTTGTTTTAAAGCATTTGTTGTTGGAGATTGTCATGCTGAGTGAAATAAATCAGACAGAGAAAGACAAATATCATATGATGTTGCTTGTATGTGGAATCTAAGAAAATGGTACAGGTGAGCTTGTTTGCAGGACAAGAGAGAGAGTCACAGACGTAGGGGGCCAACTCATGGTTGCCAGGGGGGAAAATGGCAAGGGGGAGTGAATTGGGAGATTGGGACTGACATGCACACTACTATATATAAGGTGGATGACTAATAGGAACCTACTCTATGGCACAGGGAACTCTACTCAGTGCTCTGTGGTGACCTATATGGGAAAAGAATCTAAAAAAGAGTGGCTTATATGTATATGTGTGACTGGTTCACTTTGCTGTGCAGCAGAAACTGGCACAACATTGTAAATCAACTATGCTACAATAAAAATTAATTTAAAAAAATAAAGCATTGATTGTAAATATTACAATAGCAATAGTAAATACTAAGAAGCATGTCCTAAAAATCTGATTATTAAAATTCATGTTGTTCTAAATGGTCCTGATTTTGGACTCTATTTAACTAGTGCTAGAAAGGATCCAATTACATCTGATATCTTTACTAGAAATAGAATGTTGCCTCTGGGCTAGTATTAATTTTTGTAAAAGAAATTACAGATTTTTCTTGGCCTTATGTAATACAGGTCAGATGGCAAGAAATGTGAGTACCTGAAGAGCAACTGATAAGCTGTTAATTACCCCCATTAACATTTATTAGGCACCCACTGTTTTTTGACCCTTTCTGAGGAAGTGCAAAATCTTCGAAGCATAGGAAATTAATGTGATGTACTCCCCCCTCCTTTTATTTTTGCCTCTTACAATTCATTAGTAACCTGGGCTTCTGGCATTTAAATGAGATATTAAAACAGGACTGGAAAGATTTAGACATTTCATTTTCACATTGCCAGAAAGTTAACAAGGTACTAAAGAAAACTTGTTTCAAAATGTGGGTGGCCTCAATATGTTGTATGTTGTTATCATTCTAAACCAGCACACTTGGAAAAGTAGAGAAATTAATCCAGAGGGCGGAGGAAGTGAGAGTGAAAAGTTATTTGCTTTCTGGGAGTACTTTCCACAAACAAATACGTGTAAGTAAGGTGGCCTCTCACAGTTCTTTTCCATCACCTGTGAGTGACACAAAGTAGCTGTAAGGCGACAGACTCAAGGAATAGAGGAGACAAAAATAAGAAAGAATATGCCTGCTTTAAACCAAGTGTCAGCAAGCCACAGCCCACAGACCCAATCTGGTGCACCGCCAGTTTTTTTGTATGGCCTAAAGCTAAAAACAGTTTTTTCCATTTTTAAATGTTGGGATGGAGGCAAAAGAAGAATAATTTTGTGATATGTGAAAATTACATGAAATTCAAATTGCAGTGCCCATAAATGAAGTTTTATTGGAACACGGCTAGGCTAATTTGTTCAAGTATTGTCTGTCCATGGCTGCTTTCTGCTATGGCCAAGCTGAATAGTTGTGACAGAGACCATATGGCCTTCGAAGCCTAAAATATGTTCCATCTGGCCCTCTAAGGAAAAGTGTGCTGACCACAGATTTAAGTGAAGCGATGAATGGAATAGGAGGGCAGCATTTCGGAGCGTGGTGGGAACGAACAGAGCAGTGGCGCTGGGGCCCCAGGCACAGTCAGAGGGGCAGTCCCAGAGGGGATGGCTTCGTCCCAATGGCTGGGGACCCAAGAGCACTGGGATGCTATTATCTGTGAGAGAGAACTGCAAACTCCCCAAGAATATGGAGATACAGGATTAATCTCATTTGTAGAAGTGGGTATAGCTTGACTAAGGTAGATACAAAAACACAAGATTCTACTGGATGCTTCAGTACTTGATAGTGAAACTGGAAATGGCAGAATTTGGTTTCCCTAACATTACTGGAATTGATACAGCTTTCCAGAAATATTATAGAGAAAGAAGGTTTATTAAGTTGAAGGTAGAAGACTTTTTGAATCTTTCTGCAAAGCTGCCTCGATTTCATACTAGTATTGCCAAAGGGACTAT